TTTTTTTTTCAGTGGTGATAACAGCTATATCAAGACACGGGATTTCATGTCTCCAAATGGAACTGTTGAAACATCTACCCAACCTGGTTTACTGGTAAAAATAAGTTTACTGTACAGAACGCATTCTCACCAATAAGGTCATTTCAAGCATTTGCAATACAAAAATGAGATAGAAAATGGCCATGCCACACACTAGGAAAAGTAATTGGGAGGTACGCACTTTGACAAATGAAGGTTTCAACTACATGACCACAATAAGTTACACATACATTTTTCAAGCATGCTTCCATAAATAATTATTGGTGAGCTAATGACATCTATTTCACAAACTGGAAAGTTTCCACATTTACAGAGTAAGGTTCTGAGGAAGACTGCATTTTGACAGTGCTGTATCAATTGCACAACAGATAGTTTTTACTTTACACACCAAATATCAAGAAAATAATTTTTTGTGAACTCCTATTTACAAACATATGCTAGAATTTACAAAGGGGGATACACATCTGAGAAATTCTTGTCCAGAGAAGGAAAACATGTTATACAAATTCTTGTGCTCAGCCTAATAGATCTTTTGTCTACAGTTTGTTTTGTAAAGTTAGATTTCATCTTTCTAAGCAAAAATTATGAATAAATTCCTTTTTACTGAGGTATTTAATAAACTGGATATAGATATAAACGTCTGAATATTGAAATTATCAATGTATTTTGAGCAGCTCATTTTTGAAAACTATTGGCATTAATATAAATAATTTGTGGAAAGTATTTTAAGATTGGAATGCCAGATATGAAAATTATCTAGAATGTACATCTAGAGTTCAGCTAAAAATATTTGTTGACTAAATATGTACTATAATGTTTGAATGAACTACTATGCTAAAAATATTTACCAAAAAAGCATAATAGTAGGCCACCTTTTAAAATTAGAATTAAATAGTGGTGGAATAGAACTCTGATTCTCCCCAACCAGTGTAATCAGATCACTGGTAAAGTCTTAATGAGCTTAACAAAACCTCTAGGAACAACTTGGGAAAAACATTATACCGGTAACAAGACATGCAAATTTGATCCTAACCTGTACCACCAAGTGTTATTCCAAGCAAATTCGAGCATTTAACACAGTCCCCTTCCATTTTTAATTTTATGTACATTCCTCAAAAGAATAGAGCAATGGAAATAATTTCATTATTAGGCTTAACTGTAACATAAGTGGTTTATAAATGACTACGGGAGGCCTACTTTTTCAGCCAGGCTCCCCGAAGACTAGAATCTCTTCTTACAAAAATGCATCTGACCATTTTCAAAAAGATTCAGCTTATCAGGACAAATTTACTTGTTTTTCCATGTCGTTACGTCAGAACCATGCTTTATTTGCCCTCATATATGAAAAGAGTGGCTCCCGGTATATTTTTGAAAAGTCGCTTATTAAAATCTAAGGTTAAGGTTTACTCTTATGAGACACATTTATAATTTCAACCTTAATTCCCAAATACCCTTCATCATGGAAGCAAATTAGGAAAGATAAACTATCCTGTTTCTTCTTTCAACGGCAAATATTCAACTTCCTGATACATCATTCTGGAAATTCTGGAAAAACTTCTCAAAGGGCTATGGTATTTCACCAGCTAGGAGCAGAAAAGGACAAAGGCATTGTGTGCATGGAACACCGCTGAATCCCACTGCTTAAGCTATCAACACGAAGTGTTTCCTATTATAGAAGTGGGTAATTGTTATCTCCAAAAATATTCTAAAAAACTCTCAAGCATTTCATAAGCATTTTTTTTAATTCACAGGGTATCTCACATGAAAGGACATTATGAACCTCAGGTTATTTACATACAAGTTAATGACTATCTTGATTTACTGAAAGGTAAAAAAGTTCTTGCATGTTTATGCTAACCAAACATGATGTGAAATCTGTTAAATTTCGTAGGGATTTAAACAATATTTTTTTTGTAATTTTTCTACAGTAGCTCCCATCAATTACTGGTTGTAAAAGAATATATTTCAGAAGTACTTCAATGTGCAAAAGTTCCCTCAACTGTTATTGCTTACTGGCTGATCTTATTTAGTTCATAAGTTTTGAGAAGAGCTAAACACTAACAACAAATGTCAGCAAATTTCTCACCAGCCCTGCCATCTTCCCCAATGAAGTTATCTTAAAAAGAATCTTATCTTAAAAAAGGTGCTATTACTTAATATTCGTGTGGAATTAATTGTATTTAAAAATGAAGTTCCTGCCCATATGGCAGAGAGTTTCAAGTGTTACACTAGCAATGCTCAAAAACTGAGTTCTTACAAAACAACCCCTCTCAAATTTAGGAAAGCAACAGATTAAAAACATCAGCAATACAGTGACTGTGTCCTGGAATAGATCAGTTACTGTATATGACTGTGCTTTGAATGACTTGATATTTTCGTACACCAATCGCTGAGTATTATATACTATACACGGTGTAAAAGAATAAACCAGATTTAGGATATATTAATTTCTCAATGCCCATTAGAAAACCTCTGCTCTGATAAGGGATGCCTGATACTTTTTGCTGTTATGACAGATCATCTTCGTAAGAGCTTTAATTTTTTCTCAGACTCAAGTCACTGTTTGTTACTAGTGCTGACAGAGATGTACTTTCTGATGTATCTTCTTTAAGATTCAGGAACGATTCTCTGGTGATCTGCAGTATTTCTCTCAGTCCTTTGTTTTCCTGCTGTAAGCAACAAAACAATGCTTTTAAAGTGGCATGACAAAGTATTAAAACACTCTTCCCGTTCCCGGCACTAAGTTGTTGTTTCTCTTTCCTTAATGGCGTCTGCATTCTTTCATCAAGGTTATCTCCACATCCTCCTACAATCCCATCCCTTGAGGTGGCCTTGGTGTCCCATCCTTGAATACCAGAGTACCAGTGTACTGATGCACCCAAGCTAAGTCTCTTTTACTAGAGGAGTTACTCATTAGAGGCCACTAGGGCACAAAGATTTTCTCAGGAAGATGTCAGCTTTTCAAGGATATGGAAAATTATTAAAATTCAGATTATGCAGAAGATATACTTTTTTTTATTCGAAACTCTACCCTCTCGTCCTCATTGTGAACTGGTTGAGGCAACAGCACTCTATACCCATGCAAAATATAGGTAGCCTCGATTACATTTTGTTTAGTGACCGTCCAAAGTTACAATGGCACTGAAACATGTGATTTAAGACCATTTTTCATAGTTACAACTTTTGCAGCATCCCCATAATCATGTGATCAAAATTCAGACGCTTGGCAATTGACTCACATTTACGAATGGATGCAGTGCCCAAGGGTCACATGATCCCCTTTTGAGACCTTCTGACAAGCACAGTCAAGCACAGATTCACTTAACAACCGTGTTGCTACTTTAACAACTGCAGCGATTCATTTAACCATTGTGGCAAGAGAGATCGTAAAATGGGGCAAAACTCACTTAACAACAATTGGGGTCATAATTCAAGGACTACCTGTAGCTGTCATTTCCTCCGGAATTCAACCAAAGTCTAGACAGCTGGACTTGGATGCAGAGGTATATGTGAACAAATGGTGCTTTTAGTTCAGGAACTAAATAGAAGTTACTAAGAACAGCATTTCTTCTGGCCACTCCCGAGCAAACAAATTGAGAATCTGAACATCTATCTTTTAAAACAAATCTTGAATTATAAACTAAAAATGGCTTTCCATTGTACATTGAAAAGTCAGCTGTGTTTATACTGAATTTGTAAAAAGAACACTTCCAGATTACCCAATACAATTTATCTTCAGAGAGGCCTGTGATTTTAACATTATCTTAATAATTTTTTGAATTCACTAGTTTTAAAAAAATGTATTCATTTTCCCACAGAGTTTGAAACCTACCTCAAGCTGAAAAATACGTTCTTGTTCTTTGCAACCCTGCTGCTCATCAATTTCAATGGCTTTTCGCATTACTGCTGCCATTTCTGTGATTTGGTCCACGTGTACTTGTAATTCCTAAATCAAGAGTAAAGGAACATTAACAATGATACTTTAGTTTTAAAATACCACCTAAATGCTGTTTTGTTGTTACAACAGACCATATTCATAATCATAATGTGTAATCAACTGATAAACAAAGCTAGTTCAATTTTTGCTTAAGTCTTATATTTTCTCCACAATAAATAGCTTTATAATTAATGGTTTTCAAGCCAATACATTATTCCTTGTAGATTGAATATTAGTTATGATCATAGAACTTATCTATAAAATTTTGAGTTGTGTGGATTTGAATTTCCACAGTTCTTAGCAATGACCATGCTGGTGGAGAATTCTGGAAGTTGATGTCCATACAGTACATCTCTAAAGCTTTATAGAAACCATAGCTGAATATCACTGTTACTGTTACCCAGAGGTGACATGGGGGGGCAATACAAATCAAATAAAATCAATCAATATTTTGTTACCTTTTTTGAGATTTTAAATATTTATTGGCTAATAAGGAAACCACATCCACGTCTATATAATAGCTAAAGTGATCTACCAGGAGGGATGATCTTATTTCAGGGTGTCATGTCTGGTGCAAGGGATAGCTCCACAAAGGAGATGAGCCCTGGTGGTGCAGTGGTTGGAATGCACTATTGCAGGCTGACTCTGCCCCCTGCCAGGAGTTCGATTCCTTCAATCCTGACCGGCTGAAGGTTGACTCAGCCTTCCACCTTCCGACGTCATTTAAATGAGGATCCAGATTGTTGGGGGCAAGATGCCGACTCTGTAAACCGCTCAGAGAGGGCTGTAAAGTATTATGAAGCGGTATATAAGTCTAAATGCTATTGCGGTTGCTATTGATTCAACTACATCCTTAAAAAAGGACCGGTTTTGATTTTGCAAATCTTCCTTCTCTCGCTGCCATTTTGCAGATCCAAGAATGTAAAATTTGATTTAAGTTGTGTGTCGTTTTGTACCAAATTAAGACAGCAAATCCAATCTGTAGTACCCAAAATAAAGCATAGTACCTGAAGAGATTTACATAAATATTAAGGGCATGCTACCTTGGAGTGCTGTTCCTTTAACTTCATTATTATACCCGGATCATCTTTTTTGCTGGCCATGAGCAATCTAAACATTTGTTCTCTGTATTTGCTCATTATTAGTTCCAAGGCACACTGATGTTCTTCAAGAGACGTTCGGAGTTCTGTCAAAACACACAGCAAAGTTAACATGCATGGGTATTTTTATTTATTAAATTTATATACAAGTTAACCCTACATAAATACAAAAAAAAACCCCCTTCTACTTGATATATAGAATCATGCAGAATCTTGATTGCCTTTAACTATCTCATGAAGGAAAAATTTCTATCAGTGCAGATAATTCAAATAGTGTGAAATATATCAGCAGTTTCCAAAGTTTTTATTTTTATGGACTACTGCTACTTCATCATGAAAAACTCTTATGCGACCCCATGTAAGAAAACAGTTTTAAATATTTTGAAGCATAGCATATGGCCGAGGGAAGTAAGAGAGGTTATTTAAAAGTGCAGCTATTTCTAATAATTAGAATAGTGTTCACAATAACCGCTGGCAAAAAGGCTGATATTTAAGTTTATAAAATATTATATTACAAAAAATATTTGTAAAGCAAATTACATTGCAAATAAAGCAATGTACAGGTATTTATTATCTAAGTCCTACGTACTTGGGCAAAGACGCTTGCCAGTTCTGACAATATCCCCTGAACTCAAAAGGAAAATTTTCTTGGATCCTATACACCTACCGAGTGAGCTAGGAAAATACCTGGCTCCTTTAAGAAGGGCCAACACCAACCATAAGACTTTGCCTGCGTTTGGCTTCAATGCTGCATACTTCCAATGCCATGTTAAGAATGATACATTAAAATGTATACAGAATCATATTATTACATTAGCTCTCCGCTCCCAACATGCACATATACTAAAGCACCAGAAGTTGGAAATAACTGCAACAGATGCTTCAGATATTTTACTGACTTATGCACATCATAATAGGAAGATGTACTGATGTATTATTGTAAACTATTAAGTATTTGGCTATCCTAATAAAGTATGCTGAATTTTAAAGAGAAACCTTGGACTATTTTGATAGTAAACAGGACTCTTCTTAAACTGAATTCACCTTTATTTTCTTGTTGTAGTTCTCTGATCTGTCTATTTTCCTGCTGGATACCTAAGACTAAGGAAGACCGAGGCCTATGTCTTGCTACTTCATTAAGTTCTTGAATTTCTTCCTGGTACTGAAATTATAAAACAGACAGAATGGCAAAAAAATATCAGACATCTGGTATTAAAAGCAACAGACATCTGGTATTAAAAACAAAGATGAACTTCAAATTCAAAACTAGACATTTTGATACAGTATAATTAGATTATGTCTTTGTATTTTTCAAATGTGAATTTAAAAGCTGAACACTTTGAACAACTTAACCATAAAATACAGAATATTTAATTTTTTCATTGAAACAAAATTCTATTTCAGTAAAATTGAACTCACTAAAATGTCTTATATCTGAAGCTACCTGTGAAAACATTAGCATGCTGCAATCATATTACAAATTATTGTTTGCCATAAATATTAAAAATGTTGCAGCGTTTTAAAAAACACCAAATTTACCACTGCAAAGGTAAATATTGTAATATTGCTTAAAATTAAATGCAAAAGAAATAAGTATACAAGTGAACACATTCATCTGGCACCTTCAAGTGGGCAACAGGTTTTAATGGTACCATTTCAGATGTTAGAGAACAGGTTTTAACTAATTCTAGATTACATTATGCTTGCGCTGCTGTTCATGTTTACATTCTTGGTTCCGTGTTTGAGAGTAGATACATGAGGATTTATAAAATTATGGATTATTATTATTATTATTATTATTANGCCAGTTAAAACAGATAACTAATACAATAATACTAATTTTAAAATATGATTAAAATGAAATATTCATTATTGGCCGTTTCTTTTTAAAATTATTTTAAAAACCAAATTAAAATACCCCTTAGGCCAGTCCGGCTAGCTGAAATAGCCATGTCTTGAGGGCGCGGCGGAAGGAGGGGAGATCCGGAATCACCCGGATCTCGGGGGGTAGTTCGTTCCAAAGGGTGGGGGCTCCAACAGAGAAGGCCCTCCCCCTGGGGGTCGCCAACCGACACTGTCTGGCTGACGGCACCCTGAGGAGACCCTCTCTGTGGGAGCGTATCGTCCGATGAGAGGTAATCTAGTTATATAGATTACTATATATTATATAGTAACTGAACTATTATGTTTTAAAATGTCAAGCTTTGCACTCTTAAAAAGTGAAATGCCGTTTTTAATCGCAAGGCTCATGCAAAAAAGGTAACATTCAATACCTTATAGCAGACATGTCAAACACAAGGCCCAGGGGCCGGATGCGGCCCGCGAAGTGGTTTCATGTGGCCATCCTGAAAACAGTGAGGGAACGGCCCCCGCTGCCTTGGCCCTGGCCGGCCGGGAGCCAATGTACAATTTTGTGGTGGCCATCTTGGCACTTGCCCCGGTCTCACCCCCTTCTGCCAGAGACCCTCAGATCTGTCCCACTCCTGCCCAGGCCCCCCAAAGGCACCCTTGGCGCGAATGATGTAGAACTGGCTACGCCCACCCAGTAGGCCACACCAACTCCATCCACGCCCACCCATTAGGCTGAACCCACTCTGGCCACACACACCCCCACCCCCCCCAAGGCAACCGCAATGCTGATGCGGCCCTCAGTGAAATTGAGTTTGACACCCCTGCCTTATAGCCTTATCAAAATAAAAAAGTGTAGAACTGAGCATTTTGCACTTTTAAGTCTGCACATTTTAAAATACCATAATGAAGCAATCAGCTTCTGAATAACAATTAAATAAGAGAAACCTGTTTCATTGCTTCCACTCGTTTGTTGAGATCGGTAGTTTGTTCAATGAGAGCTTCTGCTGCAGTGTCATGCTCTCTTAGTCGCTCCACTAATGCTTTGGCATCAGCTAGGGCCTTCTCAATTGTGCAACTCATTTCTAAAAATTAAAATAAGATGTTATATAATACCAGCTCTCATTCCACTTTTGTCAGAAGCAGTGTAAGTTGCCTTGCATCCTGAACATGCAGACTAAATGAAGTATGAAAATGTACAAGTCCTCTTCCTTTACAGTATTATCCTACATCAAGTATCTCGATGCAATACAGAAGCAAGATTAAGGGACTTCAAGTCAAGTTCTCCACAGGACTGTCTTAATTTATATCACTGGTAAATCACAGCTTGGAAATGATATTGCCATGTTTCCAATCTGGATGTCCTGTATTTTGATTAGAATATTAAACTACATATTCTGAAATTTATGTTGGGAGACCTCTTAATTTTTGAAACAGTATTGTATAAATATGTACGCCCCCTGGTGAATGAGGCATCTTTATTGACAATGTATACACCAATAACCTTTTGCACCCTCAGAATACAACATTAGAATCAGAGGAAAGTTTAATAAGTTTTGATTTCACAGAAGGGATCTATTGCTCGCAGTTATTGTACCCTTGCTAAATGGTGACGCTGTTAAAATACAAAAGCAATTCAGGCCACTCCTTCCCGTTCAAAGGTATTATTTGTCACAAAGCAACTGCAGCAACAAGAACCTACTTTACAAATTACCCTGCTAATTTAATATTTCCTGTCTGACACATGAATTTTCATAACAGAAAATGAAATGACAAATGAGTCTTTAAATAAAGCTCCTAAATTTAAACATAACCCTTTCTGCAAAGTTTTCTTACTGTTTATAGATGTCTATTAATTTCTATTGTTTAGAAATTAATTCTCTTCACTGATCATTAATCACTTTCAATAACCTAGAAAAATTCTGAATATCAAATCTATAGGGTGACCTTATCAGTATCACTCATCATACCGTATAGTATTTGTGAACTAGGTGAAATAGAGATGCAGCCATAGAGGGAAGTCATTATTGGCTGCATTTGAAATAAAATGGGAAGCCAAGAAGCTGTCGCAGGCACTAAACTACAATGACATATGCAAAATCTAAGCTATGTTGTATCTGTAATCACGAAATTTTGAATAATTTCAACTAAGGATCAGGGACAACACTCTGAGTAAATTACACCTGCAAAGATCTAATCGTCAGCATTTCCTGGGTGCCTGAATTTCAAGGCGATAGTATGTTTTGGTAAAAATGAACACGTTACTAAAGGCTAAATAGTGGAGTCTTGGGTGCTCTCTGAGCTTGGTGGTTTTCTTGTAGACATTTCATTACCTAACTAGGTAACATATCCATGCTAGAAGGGAGAGGGGAGGTTGGTAGAATGGAAGGGAAGGAGGATTGTGGGGTCCTTGGTGCTCTCTGATCATGGTGATCTTTTTTGCAGATATCTCATGACTCAATTAGGTAACATCCTCAGTGCTAGGAGAATGGGATGTGTGGAATGATGGTGAAGGAGGAAGAGGACGACAACTGTAGGGCCTTTGGTGTTCTCTGAGCTTGGTTGTTTTCCTGCAGACGTTTCACGTCCCAACTAAGTAACAGCATCAGTGCTAGAAGGGAGTGGGGTTTGCTCTCTGTTTATATACTGATGGCTTGCCCTGTCAATATTGGTCGGTGTCTTTTTGAGGTTTCCTTGATTAGGCTATTGCTTACAGCTGAATTATTTAAGTTGGTAGCTCCATGACTGGGGTTCATATTTCATGACCCAACTAAGTAACCATCATCAGTACTAGAAGGGAGGGGAGTTTGCGGAGAGGAGGAAAAGTGTGGGGTCCTTAATGCTCTCTGATGTTGGTTATTTCTTGCAAATGTTTCACTACCCAACTAGGGAGCATTATCAGTGCTACAAGGAAGTGGGCTTGCAGGGAAGAGGAGGAGGAAGGACGTGGTGCTTCTAAGCTTGGGGGTCTTTTTGCAGATGTCTTATTACCAAACTAGGTAACATCATCAGTAATAGAAGGGAGATGGGTTTGCAGGGAGGGGAAGGAGGAGGAAGAAGGGGGAGGAGAAAGAGGACTGAGGGGTCTTTGGTGCTCTCTTGAGCTTGGTGGTTGTCTTGCAGACATTTCATTACCCAACTAGGTAACATTGTCAGTGCTAGAAGGGAGGAGGGTTTGCAGAAAGAAGGGGAGGGGGAGGGGAAAGAGGAGGGGGAGGAGAGGGAAGAGGACAACTGTGGGGTCCTTGGTGCTCTCTGAGCTTGGTGGTTTTCTTGCAGACGTTTCATTACCCAACTAGGTAACATTGTCAGTGCTAGAAGGGAGGAGGGTTTGCAGATAGGAGAAGGGGAGGAGGATAGGGAGAGGGAGGAGAGGACGACTGTGGGGTCCTTGGTGCTCTCTGAGCTTGGTGGTTTTCTTGAAGACGTTTCATTACCCAACTAGGTAACGACGTCAGTGCTGGAAGGGAGGAAGGTATGCAGAAAGAAAGGGAGGGGAAAGAGGAGGGGGAGGAGAGGGAAGAGGACAACTGTGGGGTCCTTGGTGCTCTCGGAGCTTGGTGGTTTTCTTGCAGACGTTTCATTACCCAACTAGGTAACATCATCAGTGCTGGAAGGGAGGGGGGGAAAGGTTTGTTCTGTTTACACGCAGTGCCAAAAACTAAAACTCCCAACGAAGCTCAGGAAAAAGTATAAAACGAATAGGCGTAAATATCCTCACAACACACTGGCTAAAAAAAAAAAAAAAAAAGCGGGGGACGCGGGGACACCCAAGCCCCGTTGAAGGAGAAGAGGAGACCCAAGAAAGAGTCTGGGTCGAGCTCGGCCCCCCTTCCGCCGGGCCCGGCTCTGCTCCCTCAGAGTGGCGCAGGAGCCGGGCCAGGACGGAGGGACTCCCCCAGGCAGGGCCGCCCCGTTTCCAGAAGAGCCCCGCGGCCTGAGGGGGAGAAAAGCGGCTTCCCTCAGGAGCCGTTTAACGGCCTTCCGAACCGCCGCGCCCGCGCGCCCACCCCGCCAGCCAATCAGAGCGCGTCTTTTGCCCCTCTCCCCCCCCTCCCTCACGCGCGCATCCGCATCGGAGGCGAGTGCGCGCGCATCCAGCCAGAGAGCGATATAAAAAAAAAAACAACCCCCACACATACACACACACACACACACACTAAACTTCTCCTCACCGATGGTTCCAATTCATTCCTCACCCCCGGCAGGGCGCAGCGCAGGCGAGGATGTGGAGGGACGCCGGCGGCCCCGCCGCTTCGCCGTCCGCCTACCGCGTCGCCCCTTCACACGGCGGCAGCTCGAAGGACAAGAGGAAGCGGCACCGGCCGGCCGGGCGTCCCCATGAGGCAGCGGTGAGGTAGGTACGCGCGAGAGCCGCCCGCCGCCACTTGGAGTTGCAGAGCGCGAGCCACAGACGATGCGGGCGAAGCGAGTTATCGCGAGATTTGGCCTCTTTTTTTCCCCTCTCTCTCTATCTCCCTTTCCTCCCCTCCCCTGCTCCCTAGGTAGTGAAATATCGCGAGGCGGGTTGTTTTGGATTATTATTTTTTTTGCTTTGCTTTTTCGCTCCCTCCCGGAGGAAAGGCGGCAGCTTTGCGAGGAAATATCGCGAGGTTTCCTAGCCCTGAAAAGAGGCGGGGAGTTCCCTGGCCAATGAGGGTTTTCCCTCCAAAGTCTCGCGAGATGTCAGTTTCCTCCTCTCTCTCTCTCTCTCTCCCCCCCCCGTTATTTACCCGAGAGTGAAAGATGCTCAGAGCGCAGGCGCGATCTTCCCCGTTGAAGTAGAAGAGAGTCTGGAAAGTCAAGAGTGGCTGCTGTAAGGCAACATACGGTGTGTGTGTGGTTTTGTGTGTGTGTGATTTTGTGTGTGTGTGTGTTTTAGGGGAGGGTCGTTTGGGGTTGAAAAATACTGGTGGGGGGGCTCTTCTTTGAAGCAAGATTCCCACGTGCCATCTGGGTTGCAAAGGGGAGCAGATCCTGGGAGGCCCCAAAAGTGCTTTTTTTTCCCAAGAGGCAACTGGACTTTAATAATAATAATAATAATAATAATAATAATAATAATAATAATAATAATAATAATAATAATGATGATGATGATGATGATGATGATGATGTTTCGCTTCTCATCCAAGAAGCTTCATCATCCATGACCCGGATGGCTGAGAATCTCCATGGACCATGCAGAATATAAGCTGCATTCAGATTCCCATGTCTAGAAATTCTGATAAAATGTCACTTGAAAAGTAGGAAATTCCTCTAAAGATACTCTGAGATGCTTTCAGCATTAATCCCTGACTAGTCTCATGAAAGACCGTCGTAATATATTGCAAATAGGCCACGGACCGCTAGTGAGCCGTGGCCCACAGGTTGGGGACCCTTACGCTAGACTAGAAGTGGCTGTTTAGAGCAGTGTTTCTCAACCTTGACAATTTTAAGGCATATGGACTTCAACTCCCCGAATTCCACAGCCAGCAATGCTGGCTGTGGAATTCTGGGAGTTGAAGTCCACATGCCTTAAAATTGTCAAGGTTGAGAAACACTGGTTTAGAGTTTTCTAAAAGCAGATTTTTTTTTCTATTTGTCTATGGAGATTCTCAGTCATCCAGGTCCTGATTGTCCGAAAAAAGTGCTTTTTCAAGAAGCAACTGAACTTTTGTTTTTCTTTGAAGACCTTTCAGTTCTCATCCAAGAAGCTTCTTCAGCTCTGCATTCTTTTAGAGCAGACATGTCAAACACAAGGCCCGGGTGCCGGATGCGGCCCGCGAAGTGGTTTCATGTGGCCTGCGAAGCCATCCTGGAAACAGTGAGGGAACGACCCCCGCTGCCTTGGCCTTGGCCCAGGCCGGCCGGGAGCCAATGTACAATTTTGTGGTGGCCATCTATGCTGAAACGCATTCAGTCTTAGCTCCACAAGGCCATCTGGAAACAGCGAGGAACCATCCCCTGCCGCGTCGGCCCCGCCCCCTGGGTACATGCTGGGGAGGTGTCACCCTTTGTGAGGAATGAAGAAATGGACCATGCCTTGGCGCTTGCCCCAGTCCCCCCCCCCCTTCTGCCAGAGACCCTCAGATCTGTCCCACTCCTGCCCAGGCCCCCACAGGCCCCCTTGACTTGAACAATGTGGAGCTGGCCATGCCCACCCAATAGGCCACACCCACTCCATCCACCCACCCACCCATTAGGCTGCACCCACCCTGGCCACACCCCGCCCCGCCCCCCAAGGGCAACCACAATGCTGATACGGCCCTCAATGAAATTGAGTTTGACACCCCTGTTTTAGAGAGTCGTTGAGGCCACCTGGACGTTTATCTGTCTCGTCAGGTTCACCTGAGTGGTGCAAATGGGTGTGGAGCCTTCTTGGAACTGCTGAAAGGACTGTTGTAGACTGGAGATAGATGATGTCCTATCCCTCCCCCTCTGTTGAGAGACGGCTCTTCAACATAGGAAAACAAGATTCAGCAGTCCATCTGCATTTAAAAGACAAAGGCCACTCTTTCGAAGACAGCAAAGCCCACATTTGGGACAGAGAGGACTGCCAGTTTGAAAGAGGGGTCAAAGAGGACATCTGTGTCAAAATTTAACCCTGAGGACACAGACAAACCTCCAAGTGGTCTCAACGACTCTCTAAAAGAAGGCAAATGACCAGCTGTCTGCAAGGAGTATAAATCCTTCCATTCCCCACCATCCAGTCAGAGCTGAAGAAGCTTCTGGGATGAGGAGCGAAACGTCTTCAGAGAANTTTTCTTGCAGACGTTTCACTACCCAACTAGGTAACACTGTCAGTGCTAGAAGGGAGGAAGGTTTGCAGAAAGGGGAGGGGGAGGGGAAAGAGGAGGGGGAGGAGAGGGAAGAGGACAACTGTGGGGTCCTTGGTGCTCTCTGAGCTTGGTGGTTTTCTTGCAGACGTTTCATTACCCAACTAGGTAACATCATCAGTGCTGGAAGGGAGGGGGGGGAGGGTTTGTTCTGTTTACACGCAGTGCCAAAAACTAAAACTCCCAACGAAGCTCAGGAAAAAGTATAAAACGAATAGGCGTAAATATCCTCACAACACACTGGCTAAAAAAAAAAAAGCGGGGGACGCGGGGACACCCAAGCCCCGTTGAAGGAGGAGAGGAGACCCAAGAAAGAGTCTGGGTCGAGCTCGGCCCCCCTTCCGCCGGGCCCGGCCTTGCTCCCTCAGACTGGCGCAGGAGCCGGGCCAGGACGGAAGGACTCCCCCCAGGCAGGGCCGCCCCGTTTCCAGAAGAGCCCCGCGGCCTGAGGGGGAGAAAAGCGGCTTCCCTCAGGAGCCGTTTAACGGCCTTCCGAACCGCCGCGCCCGCGCGCCCACCCCGCCAGCCAATCAGAACGCGTCTTTTGCCCCTCTCCCCCCCCTCCCTCACGCGCGCATCCGCATCGGAGGCGAGTGCGCGCGCATCCAGCCAGAGAGCGATATAAAAAAAAAAACAACCCCACACATACACACACACACACACACACTAAACTTCTCCTCACCGATGGTTCCAATTCATTCCTCACCCCCGGCAGGGCGCAGCGCAGGCGAGGATGTGGAGGGACGCCGGCGGCCCCGCCGCTTCGCCGTCCGCCTACCGCGTCGCCCCTTCACACGGCGGCAGCTCGAAGGACAAGAGGAAGCGGCACCGGCCGGCCGGGCGTCCCCATGAGGCAGCGGTGAGGTAGGTACGCGCGAGAGCCGCCCGCCGCCACTTGGAGTTGCAGAGCGCGAGCCACAGACGATGCGGGCGAAGCGAGTTATCGCGAGATTTGGCCTTTTTTTTCCCTCTCTCTCTCTATCTCCCTTTCCTCCCCTCCCCTGCTCCCTAGGTAGTGAAATATCGCGAGGCGGGTTGTTTTGGATTATTATTTTTTTTGCTTTGCTTTTTCGCTCCCTCCCGGAGGAAAGGCGGCAGCTTTGCGAGGAAATATCGCGAGGTTTCCTAGCCCTGAAAAGAGGCGGGGAGTTCCCTGGCCAATGAGGGTTTTCCCTTCCAAAGTCTCGCGAGATGTCAGTTTCCTCCTCTCTTCCCCCCCTCCCGTTATTTACCCGAGAGTGAAAGATGCTCAGAGCGCAGGCGCGATCTTCCCCGTTGAAGTAGAAGAGAGTCTGGAAAGTCAAGAGTGGCTGCTGTAAGGCAACATACGGTGTGTGTGTGTGGTTTTGTGTGTGTGTGATTTTGTGTGTGTGTGTGTTTTAGGGGAGGGTCGTTTGGGGTTGAAAAATACTGGTGGGGGGGCTCTTCTTTGAAGCAAGATTCCCACGTGCCATCAGGGTTGCAAAGGGGAGCAGATCCTGGGAGGCCCCAAAAGTGCTTTTTTTTCCAAGAGGCAACTGGACTTTAATAATAATAATAATAATAATAATAATAATAATAATAATGTTTCGCTTCTCATCCAAGAAGCTTCATCATCCATGACCTGGAGGGCTGAGAATCTCCATGGACCATGCAGAATATAAGCTGCATTCAGATTCCCGTGTCTAGAAATTCTGATAAAATGTCACTTGAAAATTAGGAAATTCCTCTAAAGATACTCTTGAGATGCTTTCAGCATTAATCCCTGACTAGTCTCACGAAAGACCATCATAATATATTGCAAATAGCAGGGCTGTGGAGTCGGTAGATAAATGTTCCGACTCCGACTCCTCAGTTTTTTGTACTTCCGACTCCAACTCCCCGACTCCGACTCCTCTGTATTAATATGCGAATGTATTTTATACATTCCTTGAAGGAAAGAAATTTACATATTTACTTAATCCCTTATCAGTGAGAGGCTAGGTTACCCATGGGCGCTGCGTTCCCTGTAACAGCAGAACACAACACTATGGAAAGTATAAGTATTGCCGCTCCTAATAGTGCGTTGCGTGCCATATAGTGAAGCACATGAAAAGCATGCTTCTTCACGGTCACTTAACGTGTTCGTTTTGCGGTTACGTGAGGCACTGCATGCATTGGTCTTTATTCTTACAGTAGAGAAGTCATTAATTATAACTTTTTGTGAATTGGGACATTTAAACTTGCTTTTTTTTTTAAATTCCAATCTAAATTTAGTAGGAGTCAGAGTCGGTGCATTGTTTGCCGACTCCGACTCCAGGTACCCAAAATTTACTCCGACTCCGACTCCACAGCCCTGGCAAATAGACCACGGACCGCTAGTGAGCCGTGGCCCACAGGTTGGGGACCCTTATGCTAGACTAGAAGTGGCTGTTTAGAGTTTTCTAAAAGCAGAATTTTTTTTTTCTATTTGTCTATGGAGATTCTCAGTCATCCAGGTCCCGATTGTCCGAAAAAAGTGCTTTTTCAAGAAGCAACTGGACTTTTGTTTTTCTTTGAAGACCTTTCGGTTCTCACCCAAGAAGCTTCTTCAGCTCTGCATTCTTTTAGAGCAGACATGTCAAACCCTAGGCCCGGGGGCCGGATGCGGCCCACAAAGTGGTTTCATGCGGCCCGCGAAGCCATCCTGGAAACAGTGAGGGAACGGCCCCTGCTGCTTTGGCCCTGGCTCTGGCCGGCCGGGAGCCAATGTACAATTTTGTGGCGGCCATCTATGCTGAAACGCATTCAGTCTTAGCTCCACAAGGCCGTCTGGAAACAGCGAGGAACCAGCCCCTACCGCGTCAGCCCCGCCCCCTGGGTGCATGCTGGGGAGGTGTCCCCCTTTGTGAGGAATGAAGAAATGGACCATGCCTTGGCGCTTGCCCCGGTCCCCTTCCCCTTCTGCCAGAGACCCTCAGATCTGTCCCACTCCTGCCCAGGCCCCCTTGACGCGAACGATGTAGAGCTGGCCATGCCCACCCAATAGGCTACACCCACTCCATCCGCACCCACCCTGGCCACACCCACCCGGCCCCCCAAGGGCAATCACAATGCTGATTCGGCCCTCAATGAAATTGAGTTTGACACCCCTGTTTTAGAGAGTTGTTGAGGCCACCTGGACGTTTATCTGACTTGTCAGGTTCACCTGAGTGGTGCAAATGGGTGTGGAGCCTTCTTGGAACTGCTGAAAGGACTGTAGACTGGGGATAGATGATGTCCTATCCCTCCCCCTCTGTTGAGAGACAGCTGTTCAACATAGGAAAACAAGATTCAGCAGTCCATCTGCATTTAAAAGACAAAGGCCACTCTTTCGAAGACAGCAAAGCCCACATTTGGGACAGAGAGGACTGCCAATTTGAAAGAGGGGTCAAAGAGGACATCTGTGTCAAAATTTAACCCTGAGGACACAGACAAACCTCCAAGTGGTCTCAACGACTCTCTAAAAGAAGGCAAATGACCAGCTGTCTGCAAGGAGTATAAATCCTTCCATTCCCCACCATCCAGTCAGAGCTGAAGAAGCTTCTGGGATGAGGAGCGAAACGTCTTCAGAGAATAAACAAAGTCCAGTTGCCTCATGAAAATGCACCTGTGGACAACCATGACCTGGATGACTGAGAAGCTCCAAAGACAGATCATGGGGAGGAAAACGCCAATAGTTCTCCTCCCCCAGATGGCTGCTTCCTTCTTTTGATTATTTTACTCTGCACTTTGATGGACGTGCTTATTTCATTTGTGCCTTTCGCCCTTCCCCGTTTGTTGCGATTAGCCGGGGAGGCTTGAAGGGTGTCACAACTGAAGCACCTACGGGTCGTCCTCGACTTACAACAGTTCATTTAGTAACCGTTCAAAGTTACGTCATTGAAAAAAACAACTTATGACGGTTGCAGCATCCCCGTGGTCACGTGATCAAAACTGACTCATGTTTATGACCGTTGCATGTGATTCCTTTCAGTGGCCTGACAAGCAAAGCCAGATTCACTTAACAACCATGTGACTAACTTAGCAATGCAGCGATTCACTTAACAAACTCGGCAAGAAAGGCCGTAAAACGGGGCAAGACGTGCTTAGCAAATGTCTCGCTTAGCAACAGAAATTGTGGTTGTAGGTCGAGGACTATCTGTACCCTGACAAACCTTTCTTCAGCCTCCATGCACCAGGTTCACATTCTGGAGGGGGAGGAGGAGGAGGAACAGCTTTTTCCAAAAGGAGAATGCTGTACAGGTAATCCTCGACTTAAACCAGTTCATTTAGTGACCATTTGAAGTTACAGTGGCACGGAAAAAAGTGACTTGGCAGCCGTTTTTCACACTCGCAACCGATGCAGCCTCCCCACGGCCACGTGGTCAAAATTCAGATGCTTGGCAACTGACTCGTATTTATGACGGTCGCAGAGTCATGTGATCCCTTTTTATGACCTGACCAGCAAAGTCAAGGGGGAGGCCAGATTCGCTTAAGAGCCGTGTTACTAACTTAACAACTGCAGTAATTTGTTTAACTGTGGCAAGGAAGGTCATAAAATGGGGCAAAACTCACTTAACAAATGTCAAGCTTAGCAAGAGAGATTTTGGGCTTGGTTGTGACTGTAAGTCGAGGACTACCTGTGTGTGGCTGGGGGGGGGAACCTGCAAAAGATTGTGCCGTTCCCCTCTCAGCCTGTTCAACAAGCATTTGCTCGGCAACTGCAGTAAGTGAGGAAGGGGTCTCCCCCTGCAGCAATTGCAGATTTGCCTCCCAGAACCCGTGCGGTGTTGATGACAAGCCACGAAAGCAAAATAATCATGCAAAGGACTTGCCTAAGTCAGGTTGTTTGATGTTGTCAGGATGCCTGTGAAAAAAGTAAGGTTCTACATTTAGGCAAGAAAAACCAAATGTACAGGTATAGTATAGGGAGTACCTTTCTCAAAAGTAGTAACTGTGAGAGGGACCTCGGAGTCCTAGTGACAATCACTTAAATATGAGCCAGCAGTGTGCTGCAGCTGCCAAAAAAGCCAACGCAGTACTAGGCTGCATTAACAGAGGGATAGAATCAAGATCACGAGAAGTGTTACTACCACTTTACAATGCCTTGATAAGGCCACACTTGGAATACTGCATCCAGTTTTGGTCACCACGATGTAAAAAAGATGCTGAGACTCTAGAAAGAGTACAGAGAAGAGCAACACAGATGATTAGGGGACTGGAGGCTAAAACATATAAGGAACGGTTGCTGGAATTGGGTATGTCTAGTTTAATGAAGAGAAGGACCAGGGGGGACATGATAGCAACATTCCAATATCTCAGGGGCTGCCCCAAAGAAGAGGGAGTCAAGCTATTCTCCAAAGCGCCTGAAGGCAGGACAAGAAGCAACGGATGGAAACTAATCAAGGAGAGAAGCAACCTGGAACTAAGGAGAAACTTCCTGACAGCCAGAACAATTAACCAGTGGAACAACCTGCCTCCAGAAGTGGTGAATGCTCCAACACTGGAAGTTTTTAAGAAGAGACTGGGCGGCCATTTGTCCGAAATGGTGTAGGGTTTCCTGCCTGAGCAGGGGGTTGGACTAGATGCCCTCCAAGGTCCCTTCCAACTTTATTATTATCATCATCATCATCATCATCAACCTGCCTCTGCAGATGCTCATAGTCTGTACTAACTTTGAGTTTTTGCTGAGTTCAGGCAGCGTGCTAAGTTGATGTTTACTCCATCCTGAATGTAAACTCCATCTTGCTTGAATCCATTCATCACCTATTCCCATAGGTTTGCAGGACACACAATAATAACAAATCTTATTTTGTTTAGCGTGTTGTGTGGAACAGTATAAAAGCTGTAAGCTTTAAGGCAGTGGTTCTCAACCTTTTTAATGCCGCGACCCCAACCGGTCGTAAGTCGAGGACTAAACCGGTCGTAAGTCGAGGACTTTCCCTGCCCGGGAGCGCCATGCATGTGTGGTTCCGCCCCCTGCGCCGGCCGAAGCGTAGCTGGCAAGCGGCAGAGACGGAGCAGGCCGACCACCAGCTGGCCCAGCCCAAGGGAGGTAAGGCACCCGCCGGAAAAGGGGGAAAAAAATGGTGGGCAAAAAAAATGGCAGACAAAAAAAATGGCGGACAGCCTTGCTTGGCGACCCCCGTGAAATGGTCGATCGACCCCAAATGGGGTCCCGACCCATAGGTTGAGAACCACTGCTTTAAGGAGTGTGCAGATGGAACACCAGGAAGTCTTTGTGGTATTATTTTGGTGAAAGTTAAAATATATATTCAAACTTTTGAATTATGTTATCCTAAGATCATAATAAAGTCTTCATTGAACCTGTCTAGTTGTAGTTCAACCTGTCCATGTGGTTTTCTTGTCAACAATCAGGAAGCAGTTTGCCACTGCTGCATTCCAGGATATGTGTGTGTGTGTGTGTGTTTTCTGCTGGGTTCACAATCTAGTAGCAGGAAGTTGTAGCAGCTGGCTGACCTTGGCTGATCTCAGAAAAGCCAAGTGGGATCAGATCTGCTTAGGACAGGGGTAGGCAACCTTGACTCTTTTATGCTGGCTCAGGAATTCTGGGAGTTGAAGTCCACGAGTCATAAAAGAGCCAAGGTTACCTACCCCTGGCTTAGGACATAAATAAGAAAACATCAAAAAAAAAATTCCTGGTGGTTTTTGTCAATACTGGCATCCAATAGTTTCATGGAATTCTCTTACGTCAATTTGGAACATAAAATATAAATACATATGAAACAACAGGAATGAACAAATCTTAATAGTGAAATGAAAAATTGCCCTGTTCAAATTCAGTAGGTATAGAACTGTAACCTAAGAATGTAAAGTATTATAAATATCTGAAAACTTACCAGATAGTTTCATATCTTCAATTTTGTGATTTCTCTCTCTCTCTCTCCCTCTCTCTCTCCCTGCAGTGCAGTCCTTTTGGTTTAATTTTATTTAAAGCATTATCTTTCGTGCGTGTAAGAAGCTGTCTTACGTAGAGAATTTTCAATGTCGTCATAGTATCATCTTCCACGTTTAATAGTCTGGTTTTTAATTTCTATAGTGTTTGCCTAAATCTTTCATTTAATTTGTTGCAGAAAGAAAATGAAGCTTTTCTCGGAGTCACACAAAACAGTTTTTGTGGTCGATCACTGCCCATATATGGCAGAATCCTGTAGACAACATGTCGAGTTTGATATGTTGATAAAGAATCGGACGCAAGGAATCATACCGCTCGCACCTATATCTCGATCCCTCTGGACTTGTTCAGTGGAGTCCTCCATGGAATACTGTAGGATAATGTATGATATATTTCCCTTTAAAAAACTAGTAAGTAACAATTATCTTCTATAAAGAATAAGGTTTTGTAAGTAAGAGGCTCTTTGCTACTTTTCTAATTCATACTTCATGCTGAGCCGCGAGTTTTGGTTACCGTGACAGTTGAATGTTATATCCACAATCAGAGTAATTGTGTTATTATGCTTGCTATGTTCCAAGTCATTAGCAAAATAAACCTCTGAATCTTAAAGTAAGAATTATTGTTACTGTTTTGTGTTGCTGTCTCATGTCTTTTCCATTGGGTTTTTCCATGACAAGTGTTACACTTTCCCCAAATCATGGATATATTTGAGCAATGTTGGTTGCCTCATTAAACCGTTACCTACGCTTTCAGGCGAACTTCATTGTGAGCGATTCTGGAGCAAATGTCTTAAACTCGTGGAACCAGGAAGACCAAAACTTGCAGGAGGTAAATTAAATTATTCAGGGTCTACGCAATTGTATTTACTTCGCAATAAAGCAGACAAATGTTTGGATGGATTCAGACAGAGATCGATTCTACTAAAATCAAAATTTAGGTCAGCCATGGCTTAAATTCAACTAAAGAACTAGTTGATGAGATTGTAGCACTGAAATGGCATCTGCGAGTGGAGACAGTCCTTCCCATTCAATCTGATCTGTGGAGGTGGTATATCCAAAGCAAGCCTCAGATTTATGAAATCCAGGGAGCTTATGATTCTCCCCTCCCTGTCCCATTTTATTCTCACAACAATTCTGTTGAGTACATTTAAGGTGAGGTACATTGACCAGCCCAAGATTATCTGCTGAGTTTTATGGCCCAATGATAATTTCAACTCATTCTTGCAAAAATATACAAGTTATAAAATTACGTTGTTGTTTTTTAAGTACTTGAGACAGTTTGGTTTTTCCTAGTGATACTGTAGTCCCATCAAGTTTATTTTCATTTCTGTTTCCTGTTTAGTTTTATGGGCAAACTGGTTGGTCTTTACCCAAATCAGCAAGGAGTTATTCCATTTCTGTTTCATAGAGCTACGTATTGACCAGTATTGGCTAATGTATTTGTCGACAGATGGAGAAAACATTTGTCAATCCTTTGCCTTTTCCTAACGTAGGATATCAACTGTTATCTGTGTATTTTTTAATCGATTGTCAGCCGCCCTGAGTCAGCCGCCCTGAGTCCGCAAGGAGAAGGGCGGGATATAAATTTAATTTAATAATAATAATAATTTAATAATAATAATGAAGCAATACGTTTGGCTTCATAGAGTTTGTAGTTGACCAAATTCAAACATAATCTGTGTCGCATGAAAATATTCAAGTCAGTTAACCGTCCATTCATTTCTTGTTTCATTTTAAAAAAAATATTACTGTACTGACGCAAAACAAATAGCAATAGCACTCAGACTTCTAGACCATTTCAAAATGCTTTACAGCCCTCTCTGAGCGGTTTACAGAGTCAGCCTATTGCCCCCAACAATCTGGATCCTCATTTTATTGACCTTGGAAGGATGGAAGGCTTGAGTCAACCTTGAACCGGTCAGGATCGAACTGCTGGCAGTGAGCAGTGAGTCAGCCTGCAATGCTGCCTTCTTAACCACTGCGCCACCACGGCTCAAATGTTCTCCCACCACGGAGGAAGCCAGAGAGCCAATTGCTATCCTTTAGCACGGCAGGACATTTATCAAGTAGGGCTGAGGAAGGTTTGGCTTTCGGTTTAGAGAAGAAGGGATAGGAAGGAGCATTCCTGTTCAATTAAAATCTAAACGAAGAGTTTTAAATCCGAGGTGGTAGATTCGTAACCGTTAAATTATACAGGAGAAACGTTTCTTTTTTTTTTATAAAATTTTATTAATTTTTCAATTAAAAACAATAACATAAATATGATGCAATTAATCACAATATCAACCCAAAAAAATAAGACTACTCAATACATTCATGGAAGTGTCCGGTGCCCCCCCCCCTGCACCCCACTCTTTCACTTTCCATACCTTCCTCCTCCCTAACCTCAACCTCTCCTCCTTCCTCCCTCTCTCCTACTTCCCTTCCTCTCTCAACCATCCCGTCTGGTGCAGTTGGGGCATCCACCGGGCACCTCCTTAAAAAAATATCACATATATAAATCTACAGTACATCAGTTTATATACATCTATCTATTCCCTTTCCCCCCTCCCCCCCCCAGGACTTCCCAGAGCTGAACCAGGTAGTAAACACACAATAATCCCATTCTATCCAAAGCTACTCATTATTACAACACACTAGTATAAACTTACTGTGACTCTAAAATAAACGTTTCTTACTAATATCTGTTTAGCTTTAGAAACTGAGAATGTTGTTGTGGAACCAAGCATATTTCTTTCTTCATCAGTTAATGGCTGCTCTGGCGGCTGTTGGGCCTCCCAATCCTCGCGCGGACCCAGAATGCTGCAGTATCCTGCACGGCTTAGTGGCAGCCGTAGAAGCTCTTTGCAAAATTACCGAGTACCAACATGAAGCCAGGACCTTGTTAATGGAGAACGCCGACCGTGTGGGAAACAGAGGGCGGATCATCTGCATTACTAACGCAAAGAGGTTTGTGACCCTCCCCTCTCCTCCTGTCATGTTATGGTACCGGTCTTGGCGCTAAGCCACCCCCACCCGTGTTCTGATTGGTCTGTACAGGCGGGTCCTCGATTTAACGACCACAATTGAGCCCAAAATTTCGATGGCTAAGCGAGACGGTTGTTAAAGTGAGTTTTGCTCCACTGTACGACTTTTCTCGCCACGACGGTTAAGGGAATCCCTGCAGGGGTGGAGTTAGTCACATGCTTGTTAGGGTGAATCTGGCTTCCCCACTGATTTTTTGCTTGTCAGAAGGTTGCCAACGGGGATCACGTGTCCCCAGGACACTGTGAGGGTCATAAGTATGAGCCAGTTGCCAAGCGGCTGAATTTTGATCACGTGACCCTGGGGGTGCTGAAAGGGCCGTGAGAAAAATGGTCACGGGTCATTTTTTTCAGTGCCGTTGTAACTTCAAACAGTCACTAAATGAGCTGTTGTAAGTCAAGGACTACCTCTATGTGACTAAAATATTAGTCAGCTGAATGTGGCCATTTGCGTGTCTCAGAGCAGATTGGAGGGGGGATAACATTCACCTCGGAATCAAGCTTGACTCCGTGGGAAGATACAGCTACGTCCGTGTTGTTTTCTTGACGCAATATCGAAGTGGTGGACTCATGATCCAAATCGTCTACTAAGGAGAATATTTGTTAATACCGAAGACCACCAGGCTTGATTAATTTGATCCTGAATCCGCACAAACATTTCTCCATTAACTTCGGAATCAAGTTATAAATTAGTAATAAAGCAATTGTTAAGGTGAAATCTCCCCAGAGTTGAGCAAATTACTGGTCATTATACTGATATGATGTTTCTTTGGGAATAGACAGAAAGCATTTTACCATAGAGCATTTTTTTTCCAGTTTTGCAGATCAGGATAAAACAGTGGCAAAACTGTAATGAACTGGAAACTTACAGCTTTTCAACTTCAGTTCAGAAAAAAGCTATTCACTAGAGCAGGAGTAGGCAACCTTGGCTCTTTTATGACTTGTGGACTTCCAACTCCCAGAATTCCTGAGTCATAAAAGAGCCAAGGTTGCCTACCCCTGCACTAGAGCACTAGGATATACAATAGCATGTTTTAAAAATAATCTTAATGAAAACATATTCACCTTTCCGTGGGTTATGATGATTACTCTGTGTATTTTTTTTTCTAAAATTGGGTTGTTTTCTTCTTTCTTTCCAGTGATAGCCATGTACGAATGCTTGAGGAATTTGTCCAGGAAACAATACACGAACACAATAAGTTAGCGGCGAATTCTGATCAGTAAGTGCACCAATTCGTAGCATTTTGACGACTATGCCTTATGTTTGGAATGTATAATCTTAAAAATGAAATGCGCAGTTGCATCGTGGACATGGAATCTGCAAGAGCTTGTTAGTTGTGGTACCTTCTGTATGAATTGCACAAGAAGTTGAATAATTCAGTGGTACAGCAAATAGTACAGTATCCAGTTCCACTTTTGACATCTTCAGTTAGAGCCGGCAAGATTCCAGGATTTAAGATCTAAGGATTCAGTATGCTTTTAATGAAACTCTAATGTTTCTGTTTCATCAATATCTTTAAATAGTTGGTTGAGAATCCTTACCTATCTTCCATGTAACGAGAGGTTGGTGGCCAAATGCTCCTCTTAGAAATTTGCATAGAAGAATGTAGGAGAGCATGTAGAATATTTATTGGAATTAGAGATTCTTTATGCCTACAGCAGTGGCCAAAATTGTGGAAACCTTTTGGGGAAAAGTATACAGTAGAAATGCTACCTTCGGTTAAGTTTCCACCAATTTTTCTTCTAATTTCTTTATAACTGTAGCCTTGTTCACTTAATAATACTATTTTACATCGCTTTCTGGGCGACCAGTCAACTCTTTGCACCATTGCTTTAATTTTATTACGTTTTACAAGCTCACTAAATGAAAGAACGCAAAAAAACCCAACCAACTTGATAGCGTTCACATAACACACTGACACATGTCCTCCTCTCAGCTTCAATACAGGACATCAATCACTGAATCCTACTGTGATCTGATTGGCTCATGGCCAAAACAAGATGACACCTGATTGGCTCTCTAAACACTCACGCTCATTGGCTACCATCAGATGAAGGAAAGCTACCTGAGATCAACCTGAGCAAGTTGTGCTTCCTTTTTCTGGTTATTTGGCTATAACTTTTCATAGAATACAGTACAGATAATTGGACAAACTTTGTTGCATTACATTCTTGATTAAATTATCTTTCCATTGATACATAATTTTATGGGACTACTCCCCAAAAAAGTGGTGTTATTAGCCATCAAACCTCAAAAATACACTTTTCCCAAAAGGTTTCCACAATTTTGGCCACTACTATAGTTATTTCCTGAATTTAATAATAACTACATTCCTGTAAACATTACAGTGACCTCTGAAAGTTTTGGTCTTCAGTTTTCATCAATGGTTGAATGCACCCTTATTTACTTTATAACAAAATATTTTGGCTTTTTTTAGTCTGATGCAGATCCAGAAATGTGAGCTGGTTTTAATTCATACTTATCCTGTCGGGGAAGAAAGCCTTGTGTCAGATCATCTTAAAAAAGAGGTAAGCGTCTTAAAGTATAAAACATTAGTTTATGAATTGTGTCTTTAAAACATCAGTTAAGCTTACATACAATATTAGAGGCAGCCAACTTACAAGTCCCTGCCCCAAGGCCACAGTAGTTTGGGGTTGTTTTTGTTTTCGACTTTGCTTATTAATTAAAATGTAACTGCGGGTTTCCTAATGAAAATCCCTCCCCAGGCTGCCAAAAATAATTAAAATTCATCATCAAATAAGTAAAAGAATTAAATAAATGAATTAAAAAGTACGGATTTGCCCCTCACCGCATGGCTGTCTCCAACCCTCTACATTTTTAAAACTGTCATATCTGTCTGATTGAAAATCCCCCTTTGTAGAATCCCATTCGTTTTTATTTTCTGCATCACCGTGGGCGAGTAGGCGGCTATGTAAAATGTTCCAAAATAAATAAACAAATCCTTTTTGAAATTGTTGTCTTGATTTACAGCCACTGAGTCTATTCGACGTCTTTGTACGTGTTTGTATTTGTCTTTTCTTTTAAAAAGCTCTCTCCTGTTTTAACCAGCGAAGTCCATAGCGTTCGGGCTGGACGGCATCTGGCCACCAGACTGAACCTTTTAGTTCAGCAGCATTTTGATCTGGCTTCAACCACTATAACTAACATCCCCATGAAGGTAAGGTTCCCCCCCGGACAGCGTCGTGGTGCCGGTGCCGCTGAGCCATTTTTTTTAAATCCGTTGAAAACGGGGTTTTTTTTACGGTTTATTTTACTGGAAATGATTTACCTTTGCTTCTTCTTTTTTTCCCCCCCTCTTCATTGTCACCTTTTTTTTTCTTGTTTCTTGTTTTTTTTTTCATTAGCCTACATTCAATGTCTGTGACCAGGTTAGTAAATTTTTACGGAGGAGGAAGAAAAAAAAAAGGATCACAGAACAAACAAATAGCCCCATTGGCTTTTTAGCGGGTTATTCAATTGTTAATGTAGCATTGGAATCTGGTTTTTTTTTTTAAACAAAAATTTCAAGTGAGGGTAGCCTTGTTTGCTTCAAATGACTTTTGTCTGTGATTCTTTTGTTTTTACGCCTGTGTTAGACATTTCCCCCCTGCTTCCCCTTGTGCATTTTAGTGGCCTAGTCAGCCTTTCTCTCCTCTGTGTCATTTCCACGTCCTCTCAACGTAAAGGTGTTTGTTAACGAGCAGAAAGCAAGAAAGCAAAGGCCCCGTCATTTTAACAAGGAAAGCACTTTTGATGAGACAATAACATTTCTTTTTTTATTTAGCGTATGGCATATCATACATGGGATAAGATTTCATCTAGATTACAGTAGTGGCCAAAATTGTGGAAACTTTTTGGGAAAAGTGTACAGTAGAAATGCCACCTTTGGTTAAGTTTCCACCCATGTTTCTTCTAATTTCTTTATAACTCTAGCCTTGCTCACTTCATAATACTATTTTACATCGCTTTCTGGGCGACCAGTCAACTCTTTGCACCATGATTTTAATTTTATTACGTTTTGCAAGCTCACTAAATGAAAGAACACAAAAAACCCCAACCAACTTGATAGCCATCACATGACACACTGACAACTGTCCTCCTCTCGGCTTCAATATAGGACATCAGTCACTGAATCCTACTATGATCTGATTGGCTCATTGCCAAAACAAGATGACACCCGATTGGCTCTCTAAACACTGGTGCTCATTGGCTACAATCGGATGAAGGAAAGCTACCTGAGATCAACCTAAGCAAGTTGTGCTTCCTTTTTCTGGTTATTTGGCTATAACTTTTCATAGAATACAGTACAGATAATTGAACAAACTTCGTTGCATTACATTCTTGATTAAATTATCTTTCCATTGATATATAATTTTATGGTACTATTCCCCCAAAAAAGTGGTGTTATTAGCCATCAAACCTCAAAAGTACACTTTCCCCAAAAGGTTTCCACAATTTTGGCCACTACTGTAATAAAACACAATAAAATATAAATGTTAAAAAGGCAACAAAATGTGGCCTGTTGTCCATAATACCTTTTAAAACTAGTAAATGCAAGGTAATCCTCTGCCTGTTTATTCAGAAGTAGGACCCAGTATGTTCTCTGCAGCTGACTCCCTATTATGTATGTTTAGGCTTCCAAATTTAACACAGATAGTCCTCGGCTTACAACTGTTTGTTTAGTGACTGTTTGAAGTTACAACAACACCCCCCAAAAATGATAGTTTTTCCACACATACGACCGTTGCAGTATCCCCATAGTCACGTGATCAAAATTCAGACACTTGGCAACTGACTCATATTTATGACGGTCGCAGTGTCCCGGGGTCACGGGACCCCCTTTTGCGACCCCCTGACAAGCAAAGTCAGTGGGGAAAGCCACTTAACAACCACGTTACTAACTTTACAACTGCAGTGATTCACTTAATAACTCTGGCAGGAAAGGTCGTAAAATGGGGCCGAACTCCCTTAAACGTCTCAGTGATGGAAATTTTGGGCTCAATTGTGCTCGTACGTCGAGGACTACCTAGTTATTTTTCCCCTGTTTTATTGGCCTTATGACTGCTGGAGGAAGTCAGATGTATGAATTGCAGTTGGGCCGACGTAAGAAAGTGAAGCATTTCCATTTGCATTGGTTTTAAAAAAAACACCCTAAAACTACACAGAAGGAAAAATTAGAGGGACAGTTTGCTGAGTTTTAAATCTGTTGTTCAGATCACAAATGCCAAAGCAGCATCTGAGCTCTTTTGTGCTCGGTAGGATGTAGCCATTTTGCTTACCCTTAATTACACTGAATTAAATTAGACGCCTTTTAAGGTTTGCAAATACCTTGTTTGCAACTGACTGACCTGTGTGTTGCCGGTCTCCTTTTTTCTTCTTGCCTTTTGTCCTTGTAATATATCTATATTTCCTCTGTACGATCCATTAAAAAAACTAAGTCCTAAGTCGGTCGGTTGGTTTTTGCTAATCTGCCATACATCATGTTTGTTGGTCTGCCCCAGCCATTTAAAAGACCCTGCTTATTTTGCTTTTTTTTGTTTTTTTGTTTTAATCCTTCTGCATGCAGCTTCTAGGCTTCAGCTGTGGCAGTCAGATCAGACTATGTGTGGCTTCTCTTGTCAACCCCCCCCCCCCCAAAAAACAAACTTCCATAAAAAAAATAAAACTGACTAGCTTTTCCAGTATTGTCAGTTCCTTCAGAAATGGAAATACTTCCTTATCTGCCATCGACTGGACAAGAAGCGGGTGCTGGATCTGTTTTTATATTGCGCTTTTATTTCATTTGGCAAATACAAATTAAAACGAGTTCCCCCGCTTTGGGCTCCCACTAAGCCAGAAAAAGCAATTTCAAGAAATCTTGAGGTCTGGCACCCCGAAATTTGTGCTTACACGAAAGCAGGTGCTTTTAAACAACGTCCTGAGTAAACATACATTGATCCAAGCTGCCTACGTCCTTTTTTTTTTCATAGAAAAGCATCTCTCTCTCTCTCTCTCTCTTTTTTTTTTGGTTTGTTTGCAGAATTCTAAGTCATTCATATTGTGAACATTCTTTTCTTTATTTTTTCCTGTTGGCAATTTTGTATTAAAAGGCAAAAAGTAACCTTGTCCCTCTGTGGATTAAAAGAAAAAGAAACTAAACTAAGAAAAACGTTTGTTCGGGCAATGTCACAGCGCGTGTTTGTTTGTTTTTTTTAAATTCAGGAAGAGCAGCATGCCAACACCTCTGCCAACTATGATGTGGAACTGCTGCATCATAAAGAAGCCCACGTAGACTTTTTAAAAAGTGGTGAGTACGGCAGCAATCAAGAATCTTTTTATCTGCAAAGGAACAAGAAAATAGTTCACCGTTTTGTAAAGCGTCTCAGCATATTTAATAATCTATACCGGGGGTAGGCAACCTTGGCTCTTTTATGACTCGTGGACTTCAACTCCCAGAATTCCTGAGCCAGCCGTGCTGAGGCGAAATGGAGAGCTTTCCATGGTGAGCCATGCTGTCTCAGGAATTCTGGGAGTTGAAGTCCACGAGTCATGAAAGGGCCGAATTTGAAGACCCCTGTGTTAGGGGGACACGATCACCATCTTTCCAGTACTTGAGAGTTACGGCTGGGCCACAACGGATTGCCCTGCTTGCATATCTGAAAATGCCTTCTGCAACTGATAGTGCTGATCGTGGACGCCAAATATAACAAAGGCTGCATAACAATGTAAAAAGATGAAAGACAACAGGCACAATCTGAAAGTCATGGCATGAAAGAAAGAAAAAAACGGAGGGAGAAGGAAAACTAGGCCTAGGTCAGGGGTAGGCAACCTTGGCTCTTTTATGACTCGTGGACTTCAACTCCCAGAATTCCTGAGTCAGCATGGCTCAGTTTGGAAACCTCTCCCTTTCCCCTCAGCACGGCTGACTCAGGAATTCTGGGAGTTGAAGTCCACAAATGATAGAGATGCCAAGGTTGGCCTAGAATAGACCAGGGGTAGGCAACCTTGGCTCTTTTAGGACTCGTGGACTTCAACTCCCAGAATTCCTGAGCCAGCCATGCTGAGGGGAAAAGGAGAGGTTTCCAAGCTGAGCCATGCTGGCTCAGGAATTCTGGGAGTTGAAGTCCACGAATCATAAAAGAGCCAAGGTTGCCTACCCCTGATCTGTACAGATTGAGCCCAAAATTTCCATTGCAAGATAGTTGTTAAATGAATCACTGCAGTTATTAAGTTAGTAACACAGTTGTTAAGCGAATCTGGCTTCCCCCATTGACTTTGCTTGTCAGAAGGTCGCAAAAGGGGATCACATGACCCAGGAACACTGCAACTGTCATAAATACCAGTCAGTTGCCAAGCGTCTGAATTTAGTTGAAGTGATCTTGGGGATGCTCCAACGATCGTAAGTGTGAAAAACGGTCATAAATCAGTTTTTTCAGTGCCCTTTTACCTTTGAACAGTCACTAAATGAACTGTTGTAAATCGAGGACTGCCTGCAATATAAATTTCATAAATAATAACAAATAAGGATATTTTACACTTTTTTTTCAAGAACAACAACAAAAGAAACATATATCATTTTAAAGCATCCAAGTTTCCTGGATAGGACCCACAGCGTTTCTTGCACCAGCAAAAAACACCCACCAATTTCCTATTTTGACATCCAAGGAAATTTTGTAGGAAGAAAAATGAGAAATCTCTGTTAAAAGAATTACAGGATCGTGTCTTCAGAGTAATATTAATGCTAATGGATTAGTCTACAGAATATAATGGGGACCTCAAACAACATGCCTTCTTGCTTTCCTTGGTTAATGCTTGTTTTAGCAAGACCGTTATTTTGTCCCTTTTTCAGTCATGTTGCTATTAAAATATTGTTAACTTATATTAATTAATCTTTCGACTCTGTATCACAGGTGATACTCATATGGGTAGCAGCAGCAGCAGCAGCAAAGAGGGCACATTCAAAGAAACCATCACTTTAAAATGGTGTACCCCAAGAACAAATAGTGTTGGTAAATATTTATTATTCCTCTAAAGCTTTTCACGTGTGGCTTAATGCTAGAGCAGTGGTTCTCAAGCTTTTTAATGCCGCGACCCCAACCGGTCGTAAGTCGAGGACTAAACCGGTCATAGGTCGAGGACTAAACCGGTCGTAAGTCGAGGACTACCCAACCGGTCGTAAGTCAAGGACTTTCCCTGCCCGGGAGCACCGCACATGCGTGGTTCCGCCCCCTGCGCTGGCCGAGGCGTAGCTGGCAAGCGGCAGAGACGGAGCAGGCCGACCACCAGCTGGCCCAGCCCAAGGGAGGTAAGGCACCCGCCGGAAAAGGGGGAAAAAATGGCGGACAAAAAAAATGGCGGACAGCCTTGCTTGGCGACCCCCGTGAAATGGTTGATCGACCCCAAATGGGGTCCCGACCCACAGGTTGAGAACCACTGTTCTAGAGATTGTCCTGTTCTTTTTTTCCACCACTAAATTATGGCAATGGGGCCTGGTCCTGTTTTTAAACCAGGAACGTGCCTGGATGACATAACTTCAAACTCTTTCTGTAAAGAATATAACTCTTAATTGAGGTCAGGTATTCTTTAAGAATTGTAAACATTCTCTCTTTTTTTTTTCTTTTCAGAACTGCATTATTGTACCGGAGCGTACAGAATATCCCCCGTAGATGTGAACAGCCGTCCTTCTTCTTGTTTAACCAACTTTCTTCTTAATGGTAAAACATAGTCACTCAACCCTCAAATGACACAACGATTGCAGTTTATACTGACTGCGGATTTGGGATTCAACTAGGACAGTGATGGCGAACCTTTTAGAGACCGAGTGCCCCAAAACCGCCCCCCGCCCCCACTCCGCCTCCTGCCCTGCCTGCTCCGCCCCCTGCCCCGCCCACCTGCAGGGCCACGCACCGCCTCCATGGCCCGCTGCAGATCGCCCAGGCAGCCCTGCAGCGCCATCGCAGCCACACCCTCCGCCCACACCCCGCAGCATCATCTGTACGCTATGGGGCACGAGAGTGGAGTCTTGTCCCTGCTGCCCGGCTATGTCCTTGGCTGTGCTGCTCCGTGTGGGCCACGCCCGGGGGTGATCCTCCAGGGGGGCTGCTGGGGAGGAGGGGGCCGTGGGGGAGGCGGGGCTGGGGCGACGGTGCATGTGCCCACAGAGAGGGCTCCGAGTGCCGCCTCTGGCACGCGTGCCATAGGTTCGCCACCACTGAACTAGGAGAAACGCCATCTGAGACAAGGGTCAGATTCAGTGTTGGCTCAGATCTAGGAATCTGTTTCAGCTCTAAGAGGGCATCCACGCTTCTGGCAAAAATGGAGGACTTCTCTGGAGCACCCAACGGGAATGAGAGAGCTCCAGAGCTCCTGCTTTTGCTGACCCTTTCCTTTCCTTTCAGTATGTTGTTAGCCTTAATTTTTTTAAAGTTGGGCAGACAGGATGCATCTGGAATGGAAAATCTTGTATTCTGTTATTTGGGCAAGATTCACTTCCTAAGAGCCAATCCAGTCTAGTGGTTCAGGCTCTGGACCATCTCAGGAGGGACCCAGATTCTTGTGGATCCTCAGCCATGGAGACTTGGTATCTTCCTTCAACCCAACTTCACTTCAGAGATGCTTTTCAAGGGATAAAGGGGAGGCGGGAGCATAGATGTGCCGCCTTAAACGTCTGAAAGAAAGGCACAACACAACTTTAACACGCTCCTTCTGTGTTAATTATGACGGGGGTTTTATTCACTGGTGGTTGAAGCGTCTATTAGACCAAACCAGCAAGTGGAAAGAAGAATGAAACTAAGGCCATCAAGATAGATAGGACCAGAACCGGGATGAGATCCTGTCACTCACGCAATCGGTCCAGGAATGGATGGAATAGCGTGGTTTTCCACTGTGGTTTTCCACTTATTTGGCATCTAGAAGTCTGCTATTTGATTGATTTCTGATTTATTATTATTTATTCAGCGTACAATGAGAACACGACAGAAGAAAAGCGAACCTACCCATTTTTTTTATCATACTGTAAACCAGAAGGATGATTAGGTATCGCATGGAACAGGGGTAGTCAACCTTGGCTCTTTTATGACTCGTGGACTTCAGCTCCCAGAATTCCTGAGCCAGCTGTGCTGGCTCAGGAATTCTGGGAGTTGAAGTCCACGAGTTATAAAAGAGCCAAGGTTGACTACCCCTGATCTAGGTTATGGATGTCCCAAAGGTGCTTTTTCAGGAGGCAACTGGACTGTCTTGTTTTTAGAATAGAATAGAGCTGGAAGGGACCTTGGAGGTCTTCTAGTCCAACCCCCTGCTCCAGCAAGAGAGCTTATGCCATTTCGGACATATGGCTGTCCAGTTTCTTCTTAAAAACCTCCAGTGATGAAGCGCCCATGATTTCTGGAGGCAAGCTGTTCCACTGGTTTACTGTCCTCACGGTCAGGAAATTTCTCCTTAATTCCAGGTTGCTTCTCTGATGAATTGTTCTGACAGGAAATTTCTCAGTTCTAACTTGGATCTCTCCTTGATTAGTTTCCATCCATTTCTTCTTGTCCTGTCCTCAAGAAGTTTAGAGTAACATATGAGGATTCTCTCAGTTTTTCTCACAATTATCGAACCAGATTTGGTAGTGAAAGACTGACTGGCCCAAGGCCAGCCGGTGGGCTTCTCTAGCATGTGGTGGGCTGGAGTGTGGATCATCTGGTCCAGGGGTAGGCAACCTTGGCTCTTTTATGACTCGTGGACTTCAGCTCCCAGAATTCCTGAGCCAGCCACGCTGAGGGGAAAGGGAGAGGTTTCCAAGCTGAGCCATGCTGGCTCAGGAATTCTGGGAGTTGAAGTCCACAAGTCATAAAAGGGCCACGTTTGAAGACCCCTGGGTTAGGGGGACACGATCACCATCTTCCAGTACTTGGGGGACTGCCACGGAGAAGAATTGATTTATTTTTCAAAGCACCTGAGGGCAGGACAAGAAATAACCAGTGGAATTAAACCTAGAACTAAGGAGAAATTTCCTGTCATTGAGAAAAATCAATCAATAGAGTTGTGGGTATTTCATCTGTTGAAGGTTTTCAAAAATACCCTGGACAAACACCTGACTGGGATGGTGTAAGGCAGGGGTAGGCAACCTTGGCTCTTTTATGACTCATGGACTTCAACTCCCAGAATTCCTGAGCCAGCCACGCTGAGGGGAAAGGGAGAGGTTTCCAAGCTGAGCCATGCTGGCTCAGGAATTCTGGGAGTTGAAGTCCACGAGTCATGAAGGGGCCATAGTTTCCCCATGCTGGCTCAGGAATTGTGGGAGTTGAAGTCCATGAGTCATAAAAGAGCCAAGGTTGCCTACCCCTGTTCTATGCCAAGGGTGGGCAACCTTGGCTCTTTTATGACTCATGGACTTCAACTCCCAGAATTCCTGAGCCAGCCATGCTGAGGGGAAAGGGAGAGGTTTCCAAGCTGAGCCATGCTGGCTCAGGAATTCTGGGAGTTGAAGTCCACGAGTCATAAAAGAGCCAAGGTTACCTACCCCTGGCATAGAACATTATGCTCAGTAATTAGTAGAGCCTTTTCCCCTCTCCACAGGCCGTTCTGTGTTGTTGGAACAACCTCGCAAGTCTGGCTCTAAAGTCATCAGTCACATGCTGAGCAGTCACGGAGGAGAGATTTTCCTGCACGTGTTAAGCAGTTCTCGATCCATTCTGGAGGATCCCCCTTCCATAAGTGAAGGGTGCGGGGGCAGAGTCACCGACTACAGGATCACCGTGAGTTCGGCTGAAATCTAAATCTTAAAAAACAAAAGTTAAAATTGTTAGAATCTAAGCTTCCGTTCTAATAGAAATAGGCTTTAAAATATGATCACAGAAATGGTGAGCACCCGTTACTTCTTCCACAAGTGCAGTTTCACCTACTTGATGTCTGAAAAAAGATTTGTAAGTCTTCAACTTTCTTTTCTTTAGTAAAGTCTGGTCTTAAGGTACCCGTTCTAGCTTGTAGTATTATTGTAATTATATAAAAGCAATGTCTTTATTCAAATAAAGAATAGACGCATGCTCACATATATATTCATTTTAATAATCTGGAATGGAAAAGCTTTTGCAAATAGNGGTACGCTCCCACAGAGCGGGCCTCCTCAGGGTGCCGTCGGCCAAGCAATGTCGGCTGGCGACCCCCAGGGGGAGGGCCTTCTCTGTGGGTGCCCCCACCCTCTGGAACGAACTACCCCCCGAGATCCGGACGATTCCGGACCTCCTACCTTTTCGCCGCGCCCTCAAGACATGGCTTTTTCAACAAGCGGGTCTGGCCACGGAGAATTTTTAAAAAGGGACAATTTTAATTCAAATCTTAATTAATTATACAGCGAAAAAAAAATATTTGGTTTTTAATAGGTTTTTTATGGGGGGACGATGTTTTATGTGTTTTAATATGCTGTAAGCCGCCCTGAGTCCTATAGGGAGAAGGGCGGCATATAAATCCATGTAAATAAAATAAATAAATAAATAATAAATTATCTGTACTGTATTCTATGAAAAGTTATAGCCAAATAACCAGAAAAAGGAAGCACAACTTGTTCAGGTTGATCTCAGGTAGCTTTCCTTCATCTGATTGTAGCCAATGAGCATGAGTGTTTAGAGAGCCAATCGGGTGTCATCTTGTTTTGGCAATGAGCCAATCGGATCACGGTAGGATTCAGTGATTGATGTCATGTATTGAAGCTGAGAGGAGGACATTTGTCAGTGTGTTATGTGATCTCTATCAAGTCGGTTAGGGTTTTTTTTGTGTTCTTTCATTGAGTGAGCTTGTAAAACGTAATAAAATTAAAATAATGGTGCAAAGAGTTGACTGGTTGCCCAGAAAGCGATATAAAATAGTATTATGAAGTGAAGAAGGCTACAGTTATAAAGAAATTAGAAGAAAAATGGGTGGAAACGTAACCAAAGGTGGCATTTCCGCTGTACACTTTTCCCAAAAGGTTTCCACAATTTCTTGTAACACAAAACTGTTAGTCTTTCGTAAGATTTGTGGGTTAAGTCTGTATCTGGATGTGATTAGCGTGGACGTTCATCAAATAATGAAACTTTCAGTAATACTAACAATTCACTTTACTGAAAAACCAGTCCGAGCATCATTTTTTATATGCCTATCAAGGAAGTTCACGAAGAATCTTTGTTTTCATTTTTATTTATTTTTTAAATCTTCTAGGTGGTGCCATTAGCCAGCGTCATTGTAAAAGAAACACTGACAGATGAAGATGTGCTCACCTGTCAGAAAACAATTTACAGTCTAGTAGAAATGGAAAGGAAAAACGATCCGTTGCCAATATCAACCGTTGGGACGAGAGGGAAGGGCCCTAAAAGGCAAGCGTGTATTTTTCTTGGGGGGGGGGAATATAATTAAAATTAAAGTTTGGATGCAAAGATTGACACACCGCTTCCAACCAGCATAATTCTGTATTATTTAGTTATATTTTATTATGCTAAGTGCTCGGTGTATCAAAAGAAGCTGCCATAATATAATTTGCTCTTAAGAAAGCATATGGCTTTCATGGACTCCATTTTTCTAGATCAGGGGTAGGCAACCCTGGCTCTTTTATGACTCGTGGACTTCAACTCCCAGAATTCCTGAGCCAGCATGAGGGAAACTATGGCCCCTTCATGACTCGTGGACTTCAACTCCCAGAATTCCTGAGCCAGCATGGCTCAGCTTGGAAACCTCCATTTCCCCTCAGCATGGCTGGCTCAGGGATTCTGGGAGTTGAAGTCCACGAGTCACAAAAGAGCCAAGGTTGCCTACCCCTGCTCTAGTGAGTTGAATCCATCTTGGAAGAGGCAGTTTGAATACAGGTAGTCCTTGGCTTACAACTGTTTAGTGACTGTACTAGTCGCAACAATACTGAAAAAAGGGACTTGTAACCGTTTTTCACACTTACAACTATGATCACATGATCAAAATTCAGCTGCTTGGCAACTGACTCATATGTATCGCAATTGCACTGTCCCGGAGTCATGTGATTTCCCCTTTTGTGACCTCCTCATGAGCAAAGTCAACGGGGGGGGCCAGATTCACTTAATAGCCGTGTTACTAATTTAACACCTGCAGTGGTTCGCTTAACAAGCGAGGCAAGAAAAGTCGTAAAATGGGGCAAATGTCTAACAAATGTCTCGCTTAGCAACATAAATTTTGGGCTCAGTTGTGGCCGTGAGTCGAGGACTACCTGTGTCTCCAGAAAAAAAGACAACCAGAAGTGAAAGCAGAATTAGAAGTGGTGTCTGTTGTTTACTTGAGGTCCCTTCTTTTGTGTTCTCGTCCAGAGACGAACAGTACAGGATTATGTGGAACGAACTGGAGACCCTTGTTCGGGCTCACCTCGCCAACTCGGAGAAACATCAGCGTGTCTTGGAGTGTCTTCTGACTTGCAGAAGTAAACCTCCCGAAGAAGAGGAGCGCAAGAAACGGGGCAGGAAGAGAGAAGAAAAAGAGGACAAAGGAGAGAAAGCAGGGAAAGATTATGAATCGGAAAAATCCTGGCAGGAATCTGAAAGGTGAGCTTTCAGGGTGGATGGGATTTGCGTGAAGGACACAAAGAGCTAGTTTGCCCTACCTTGATCAAAACGGGAATGAGAGACTTCCAGGAGACATGGGCCTCCGGAATAATTTTCAGGAACCAGCTGGTTGCCAATAGGACGGGCAACACAACGCCACCTTGAAGTTCGCTAGCGATGGCAATCAGTTCCTGCTGGCAGCCTCCCTCGGTGCTGGTTTTGTTGCCTCAGTAATTTATCTGAAGATAATATTTATTTTGGATTAACAGTGGAATGCCTCTTAAAACACCAACTGATCATGAGGTAATGCTCGTTTCAAAGACATTCATTACATCCCGTAGATTTTTAATCTATTAATATCCAAAACGGGTTTTTTCTAAATACTTTTATCGTACATACTTAAGGATAAGAAGAGAAATTTAGGTCCTAAAATACACCGGCAAAATTGGGTTCGGTTAATCCTTTGAAAATTGGGGTGACCTGCAGATAAGCCAGTTCATGAAAATTAAAACATAAGAAAATGTTTAGGGGTTGTCTTATGTTAATGTATGTTATGTTATGTTATGTTAATTTTAATTTGTATACCGCCCTTCTCCCATAGGACTCAGGGCGGTTCACAGCATATTAAAAAACAACTACTATACACAAAATACAAAAATACAGAAATACAAAAATAAAAACCCCAATAAAAGCCGAATTAAAAACCAAATATTGCCAGCTGTGTTTCCGATTAAAATTACTTTTAAAATCATCCCTACCTAAAATCCTCCCTAGGTCAGGCCCGCTTGCTGGAAAAGCCATGTCTTGAGGGCGCGGCGGAAAGTAAGGAGATCCGNCCTACTTGATGTCTGAAAAAAGATTTGTAAGTCTTCAACTTTCTTTTCTTTAGTAAAGTCTGGTCTTAAGGTACCCGTTCTAGCTTGTAGTATTATTGTAATTATATAAAAGCAATGTCTTTATTCAAATAAAGAATAGACGCATGCTCACATATATATTCATTTTAATAATCTGGAATGGAAAAGCTTTTGCAAATAGCGTACAAGTGATTTTTTAAAAAAAAGTTGTAATATTTTTTGCACCTTTGACCATTCGCATGGAACAGTATGAACCTCTCTTTCAAGCCAAATTAATGTAATATTTAAAAAAAGATGTAGTGACAGAAATGGATATTATATTTTAGCCATCTCTTGGAAAGTCTGCTAATTTTATTTTATTTTTTTCTATATACAGGATTTTGGTGAATTTATGAGAGAAAATAGGCTGGCTCCTTTTCTAGAACCGAGGTACAAGAACGATGACAGCCTTGAGATTCCTTTGGAACGAGCCAAAGATCAGCTAGAGAAACACACCCGTTACTGGCCCATGATTATTTCGCAGACCACCATATTCAACATGCAGGCGGTAGGTCAGGGGTGTCAAACTCAATTTCATTGAGGGCCGCATCAGCATTGGGGTTGCCCTTGGGGGGCCAGGTGGGTGTGGCCTACTGGGTGGGCGTGGATGGAGTGGGTGTGGCCTACTGGGTGGGCATGGCCAGCTCTACATCATTCGCGTCAAGGGTGCCTGTGGGGGCCTGGGCAGGAGTGGGACAGATCTGAGGGTCTCTGGCAGAAGGGGGTGGGACCGGGGCAAGTGCCAAGGCATGGTCCATTTCTTCATTCTTCACAAAGGGTGACACCTCCCCAGCATGCACCCAGGGGGCGGGGCCGGGGCCGACGCGGCAGGGGTTCCTCGCTGTTTCCAGACGGCCTTGTGGAGCTAAGACTGAATGTGTTTCAGCATAGATGGCCACCACAAAATTGTACATTGGCTCCCGGCTGGCCAGAGCCAGGGCCAAAGCAGCGGGGGCCGTTCCCTCACTGTTTCCAGAATGGCTTCGCGGGCCACATAAAACCACTTCGCGGGCCGCATCCAGCCCCCGGGCCTTGTGTTTGACATGTCTGCGATAGGTAATCCTGGCCGTCTTGAGTTCCCAGCCATCAGTCATGTTTTACTGACAAATGTCCAGATCTCACTGAAGGTGGAACTCTTCGAGTATATTGGGCAATTGAACATCCATGGGATGTGACTGCTTGATGGTTAAATTATACAAGTGGGTCTTAAACCACGAAACGATCTATTTCTGTAAATCTTGTGCTCCTCCAAGACTTCTAGCATCTCTTCCTTCTTTCTTAGTGGCTGTTTTTGCACCTTGTTTTGTCAGCATTAGAAACACTGAGTTGGCTGTTAAAAGGGAGTACATTTTGATAACAGTCTTTGGGAGATTCCAGATGCAGTGCTCCTAGATATTGGAAAAACCATTGCTGGCTTATTCCGAGATAAAAAATGGCAGTTGGTTGTTCTTTTGGTCCATTTTATTATGGTATCTATAACAATAAGACTACAGTAGTGGCCAAAATTGTGGAAATCTTTTGGGAAAAGTGTATTTTTGAGGTTTGGTGGCTAATAACACCACTTTTTTTTTGGAGTAGTACCATAAAATTATATATCAATGGAAAGATAATTTAATCAAGAATGAAAGTTTGTTCAATTATCTGTACTGTATTCTATGAAAAGTTATAGCCAAATAACCAGAAAAAGGAAGCACAACTTGTTCAGATTGATCTCAGGTAGCTTTCCTTCATCTGATTGTAGCCAATGAGCACGAGTGTTTAGAGAGCCAATCGGGTGTCATCTTGTTTTGGCAATGGGCCAATCAGATCACAGTAGTATTCAGTGATTGATGTCATATATTGAAGCTGAGAGGAGGACATTTGTCAGTGTGTTATGTGATCTCTATCAAGTCGGTTGGGTTTTTTTTGTGTTCTTTCATTTAGTGAGCTTGTAAAACGTAATAAAATTAAAATAATGGTGCAAAGAGTTGACTGGTTGCCCAGAAAGCGATATAAAATAGTATTATGAAGTGAAGAAGGCTACAGTTATAAAGAAATTAGAAGAAAAATTGGTGGAAACTTAACCAAAGGTGCCATTTCCACTGTATACTTTTCCCAAAAGGTTTCCACAATTTGTTGTAACACAAAACTGTTAGTCTTTTTTAAGATTTGTGGGTTAAGTCTGTATCTGGATGTGATTAGCATTTCAAATAATGAAACTTTCAGTAATACTAACAATTCACTTTACTGAAAAACCAGTCAGAGCATCATTTTTTATATGCCTATCAAGGAAGTTCACGAAGAATCTTTGTTTTCATTTTTATTTATTTTTTAAATCTTCTAGGTGGTGCCATTAGCCAGCGTCATTGTAAAAGAAACACTGACAGATGAAGATGTGCTCACCTGTCAGAAAACAATTTACAGTCTAGTAGAAATGGAAAGGAAAAACGATCCGTTGCCAATATCAACAGTTGGGACGAGAGGGAAGGGCCCTAAAAGGCAAGCGTGTATTTTTTTGGGGGGGGGGGGGGAATATAATTAAAATTAAAGTTTGGATGCAAAGATTGACACACCGCTTCCAACCAGCATAATTCTGTATTATTTAGTTATATTTTATTATGCTAAGTGCTCGGTGTATCAAAAGAAGCTGCCATAATATAATTTGCTCTTAAGAAAGCATATGGTTTTCATGGACTCCATTTTTCTAGATCAGGGGTAGGCAACCCTGGGTCTTTTATGACTCGTGGACTTCCAACTCCCAGAATTCCTGAGCCAGCATGGCTCAGCTTGGAAACCTCCATTTCCCCTCAGCATGGCTGGCTCAGGAATTCTGGGAGTTGAAGTCCACGAGTCACAAAAGAGCCAAGGTTGCCTACCCCTGTTCTAGTGAGTTGAATCCATCTTGGAAGAGGCAGTTTAAAGACAGGTAGTCCTCGGCTTACAACAGTTTGTTTAGTGATTGCACTAGTCGCAACAGTACTGAAAAAAGGGACTTGTAACCGTTTTTCACACTTACAACCCAGGGTCACATGATCAAAATTCAGCCGCTTGGCAATTGACTCATATGTATCGCAATCGCATTGTCCCGGAGTCATGTGATTTCCCCTTTTGTGACCTCATGAGCAAAGTCAACAGGGGGCCCAGATTCACTTAATAGCCATGTTACTAATTTAACACCTGCAGTGGTTCGCTTAACAACCGAGGCAAGAAAAGTTGTAAAATGGGGCAAAGCTCACCTAACAAATGTCTCACTTAGCAACATAAATTTTGGGCCGTGAGTCGAGGACTACCTGTGTCTCCAGAGGAAAAAAAAACAGGCGTGAAAGCAGAATTAGAAGTGGTGCCTGTTGTTTACTTGGGGTCCCTTCTTTTGTGTTCTCGTCCAGAGACGAACAGTACAGGATTATGTGGAACGAACTGGAGACCCTTGTTCGGGCTCACCTCGCCAACTCGGAGAAACATCAGCGTGTCTTGGAGTGTCTTCTGACTTGCAGAAGTAAACCTCCCGAAGAAGAGGAGCGCAAGAAACGAGGCAGGAAGAGAGAAGAAAAAGAGGACAAAGGAGAGAAAGCAGGGAAAGATTATGAATCGGAAAAATCCTGGCAGGAATCAGAAAGGTGAGCTTTCAGGGTGGATGGGATTTGCGTGAAGGACACAAAGAGCTAGTTTGCCCTACCTTGATCAAAATGGGAATGAGAGACTTCCAGGAGACATGGGCCTCCGGAATAATTTTCAGGAACCAGCTGGTTGCCAATAGGACGGGCAACACAACGCCACCTTGAAGTTCGCTAGCGATGGCAATCAGTTCCTGCTGGCAACTTCCCTCAGTGCTGGTTTTGTTGCCTCAGTAAATTATCTGAAGATAATATTTATTTTGGATTAACAATGGAATGCCTCTTAAAACACCAACTGATCATGAGGTAATGCTCGTTTCAAAGACATTCATTACATCCCGTAGATTTTTAATCTATTAATATCCAAAACGGGTTTTTTCTAAATACTTTTATCGTACATACTTAAGGATAAGAAGAGAAATTTAGGTCCTAAAATACACCGGCAAAATTGGGTTCAGTTAATCCTTTGAAAATTGGGGTGACCTGCAGATAAGCCAGTTCATGAAAATTAAAACATAAGAAAATGTTTAGGGGTTGTCTTATCTGAGGGTGCTGCATTTTGAACTGCATTTTGATTCAAAATCAAAGATTGGATTAACCCTGGATGGGCTTTTATGTAAGTATCTAGGGCAGGGGTAGGCAGCCTTGGCTCTTTTACGACTCGTAGACTTCAACTCCCAGAATTCCTGAGCCAGCCATGCTGAGGAGAAAGGGAGAGGTTTCCAAGCTGAGCCATGCTGGCTCAGGAATTCTGGGAGTTGAAGTCCACCAGTCATGAAGGAGCCATAATTCCCCCATGCTGGCTCAGGAATTCTGGGAGTTGAAGTCCACGAGTCATAAAAGAGCCAAGGTTGCCTACCCCTCATCTATGGTAACATGACCATATATTTAGAATATTTTTAGAAATATAGAGTCCTAAATGCTTAATGTACAAATGACAAAACTCAATTCTTCATAGCTTTTAAAGGCTAATGGAGTAGCTTTATCCTCCCTCGAGATCTACTAATGCTGATCCCAGTTGTGTCTCTGAAGGAGCTGCCGTATTTTGGCCTCCCTTGGCAACAAATGTTCGGAAAGGTTTTGTTTCCCGCATATCCACCACCGCTCTTGTTTGGAATTTATCCATGGGGTTAGTTCTGATCTTGGCCCCGCTTGCGCCGAGCCTCTGCTGTCTTGGTGAACAGCTTTCTAGTGTCAAGAACATTGGCATCCCAAGAAACGAGCTTTGTGTGCTGATGGACCCTTCTCAGGCAGGGCAATGTTTCTGCTGGGCTTCTTCCTCATCGCTTGAGAGTTTCCATATTCACCTGAAATTTCTGCACGTGTTCCTTGGACAGCGCGATTAGCAGGTTCTCCGCATTTTCCGAATGTTCGTAGAGCGCTTGCTTTTTTTTTTATGGTCCATCAAGTTGTCCCCTTCAGGTAGGACCCATACGTGGGGCTATTTCTCAAGCGCCATGGAAATCAGGAGATCCAGGCCAGTTCAAATGGTTACAACGATTTATGGCGAGCTGAAGCTCTCTCCACAAGAACCCAAACTACTAACCGCCAAGGGAAATTAGCGGGAGATAAGGAATTCAAGGTGGGCTGGACTGAAGTCTCTTGTGGGCATGAAGGGACTCGTGATTAATGACATGTTTGAACCTTCCCTCGGGCTCAGCCTCGGTCGTGTCCTACATCCTTATTCCTTAGCTCAGGGGTGTCAAACTCAATTTCACTGAGGGCCGCATCAGCATTGCGGTTGCCCGGGGGAGGGCAGGTGGGTGTGGCCAGAATGGGTGCAGCCTACTGGGTGGGTGTGGATGGAGCGGGTGTGGCTACTGGGTGGGCGTGGCCAGTTCTACATCATTCGCATCAAGGATGCCTATGGGGGCCTGGGCAGGAGTGGGACAGATCTGAGGGTCTCTGGCAGAAGGGGGTGGGATTGGGGCAAGTGCCAAGGCATGGTCCACCGGGGCAAGTGCCAAGTTGGCCACCACAAAATTGTACATTGGCTCCCTCCGGCCTGGGCCAGGGCCAAGGCAGCAGGGGCCGTTCCCTCACTATTTCCAGGATGGCTTCACGGGCCACATGAAACTACTTTGCGGGCCGCATCCGGCCCCCGGGCCTTGTGTTTGACATGTCCGCCTTAGCTGGTTTTGTGACGTGGATTTCTAGTTCCTAACTGGTGACCTCTTCCGTTGCCTTGTCATTGGGAGATGGATGCAGGAGGAACCATCCGTCCTCCCTGTGTGGCTTCAAGGAAGGAAAGACTCCATCGTTATCCGCTTAGGTAGCCCTCCTTGGAACTGAAGAGGACTGAAAGGGCCAGGTTAAATAAGTGTGTAATTACACACCACAAGCGTGCGTCCTTCAGGTCACCATTACCAAATTTGTTTTCTCTTTTGTCTCCGAAGGCTAAAAGGTTTATTAGATCGTGAGAAAGAGGAACTCGCAGAAGCAGAAATCATTAAAGACTCTCCGGATTCCCCAGAGCCGCCCAACAAGAAGCCTCTTGTTGTAATGGAAGACTTGCCAGGGCTGGAAAAAAATAAAGGTACAAGTCCAAATAATTGCAAGTTTTCAAAAAAAAAAAAAAAAAAAAAAAGGGAAGCGATGGCTTATGGAGGGCAATATTTTTATTTATAGCAAAATATACATAGTATACATCAGTGGTGGCGAACCTGTGGCACGCGTGCCAGAGGTGGCACTCAGAGCCCTCTCTGTGGGCACGCGCGCCCATGCCCCAGAGATGGCAACTGTTCCTCTTCAACCAGCCGCCTGCAAACTCATCGAGGTCCCACGTGGCTGGATGCAACCCGGCACGGCTGGTTTCCCTCCCCCCCCGTCCCGTCCCTCCTGACCTCGCATGCTCTCCTTTTCCCAGGCACGACCCACTGCATCGCCTCCTCAGCTGTCGGCCGGCCGGCCAGCTCAGAAGCAGCTTGTCTGAACTGCTGGTGGCGGGCTACAGAGCCCCAGAGTGCGCTGGTTGAGGGGCCAGCAGGCTGTGGCTGTTGACGAACACCGTTGGCCCCCCATGCGCTCGCTGGCCTCTGTGTGCGGGGGCCGATGGTGTCAGGCAGCAGCCGCCCTGCCTCGCCTCACCCCACAGGATGAGCCTCCTGCCTACCACCGCACCTACCAAAGACCCCCTGGATCTCCCCCAACCCTGCCCACCCCCCACAGGCGTCCCTCCCCACGAGCAACATCGAGGTGACCATGCCCACCTTGGCCACACCCACCCAATCTGCCATGACCACAGCCACGGCCATCCAGTGGGCCACGCCCACCTGGCACCCAGCGATGCATAAGTGGGTTTTGGGTTGCAGTTTGGGCACTCGGTCTCTAAAAGGTTCGCCACCACTGGTATACATGCTGGGTGAGCAGAATGTCGGTAAGAGCTGCAGCTAAACTTCTGTTAAGCAAAACATTGCAGATCCAATTCTGCCGATCTAGATCCTGCCTCAACTTAGGGAATGGGTCTTATTCCAGAAAAGTAAGTAGAATTAAATGTTGTTTGGTGTCAGTTTATTACTACACCGTAGCGTTACAGGAAGTCCTCGACTTACCACCACAATTGAGTCCAAAATTTATGTTGCCAAGCGAGACTTTTGCTAAGTGAATTTTGCCCCGTTTTATGACCTTTCTTGCCACAGTTGTTAAGTGAATCACTGCAATTCTTAATTTAGTAACACGGTTGTTAAGTGAATCTGGGCTTCCCCCATTGACTTTGCTTGTCAGAAGGTTGCAAAAGGGGATCACGTGACCCCAGGACACTGCAACCGTCATAAGTACATGCCAGTTGCCAAGCGTCCGAATTTTAATCACGTGACCGTGGGGATGCTGCAACGGTCGTAAGTGCGAAAAACAGTCATAACTCACGTTGTAAGTTAAGGACTACTTGTATATACTAACATAGATGCTTCTGATTTATACCTTTTTGTCGTACAGAGGCAGTTTTGGTAGTAGTTATTTTATTTGTTCATTAATGCCCCGTCCTAGAAAACCTTTCTTCCATATGGGGAGGAGGCCTAGTGTGGAATAACTAAGTCCACTCTGCCTTTTTCCCCCCCATTATTACATTTTCTTAAACTCTGCAGTTGTCATTGTGTTACAGGTCAACAACCAGACTGTCCCTGTAGTTTTCACACACTGGTGACTGTCCAAAATTGTACTGATAAGGCTTTGTTTTGGATTTTCCCTGGCGTGAAAATAAAAAAAAATAATGTGAATTCTAGATTATTGTTCTTAACACATTGGAGGGGCGATTGTGGATTTGACTACAAAAAGTAAGGCAAATAAGCATACAAACCCAGGAAAAGGCCTTTTTTCTTTGGAGTGCAAGTATGAAAGTAAGATTTAAGGATGCAAATTAATGAGGGCTCTTACCTTTTCTTCATTCATTTTTACTTTTTTAGGGCCAATATCCCTTCTGTCTCTTTGGAGCAACAGGATTAATGCTGCAAATTCTAGAAAACATCAAGAATTTATTGGCCGCTTAAATTCTGTCAACAATAAGGCTGAACTGTATCAACATCTTAAAGAGGAGAATGGGTTTGTATCTCAACATAGCTTGCTACAGGATGCCTGGTTATTTCTGGTTAATAACTTATCTGAAAATTTTGCCCTTAAATACATTAAACTATAATCTTAATAAATAACATGAAGGCTTCCCTTCTCTTTGTTCAAAATGATGGCATTAAAATATTTTGATAGCGACATCACATGCACGTATAGTTCGCCACTTAAAATAAGCATTATGAATAAAGAGAAAAATGGTGACATTCTTATTTAGCCTTTGAAAAATTTCAAAGACTTAATTCGTGTAAATATTGTCTTGCAAAGGAAATTTTTATATGGATATTGGTTAATTGATAGCAAAAATCTAGTGTATTAGGATACATTTTTCCTCAACTCAGCAGGAATTCCTGAGCTGAATTCTGCATTCCTCAACTTAAACGGTAATTACAGCAAATATTGTAGTTCATTGTAGCCTCTGCAACATTTAATATAGTTTCTCTTGTATTTGCAAGTCTTGCTGAAGATCAGCTTATTTCATCTTGCTTCAGAATCACTGAATTTTAGAAATGATAAGTTTATTTCATTAATCACCAGCACATGACTAAAATAAGTGTTCAGTAAGTACTCATCACAATTAGCATTATGGGGAGCGAAGCTGATTGTCTTGTATTAGTCTGTGCCAGGGCCAGCCACCTATTATATACAGGTAGTCCTCAACTTACAACAATTCATTTAGTGACCGTTCAGAGTTGCAACGGAACAGAAAAGAATGACTTATGAGCGTTTTTCACACTTACGACCGTTGCAGCATCCCCGGGGTCACGTGGTCAAAAATTGGATGCTTGGCAACTGACTCGTACTTATGACGGTTGCAGTGTCCCGGGGTGACGTGATCCCCTTTTCTTCCCCAATGGGGAAGCCGGATTCACTTAACAACCATGTTACTAACTTAACAACTGCAGTGATTCACTTAACAGCTCTGGCAAGCGAAGTCGTAAAATGGGACAAAATTCACTTAACAAATGTCTCGCTTAGCAAGGTAAATTTTGGGCTCAATTGTGGTCATAAGCCGAGGACTACCTTTACTTCAGTTCAACAGGAATCTCCAAGCTGGTTCATGTATTCTTCCAACTTATATTCTACCATGCTTTCAACACATAATTTTTAGGACTTTAGGACTCTTTAGTTTTAAAGGAGAAAATAGAAACTACTGACAGTCGGAGCAAAATGCTTAAAATCCATTTACTGTTTCCTTAAGTAATTGAAACATGACAACTAAACAAAATCTTACCTTTGGTGTCTTTTACCTTTTGGCTCGGCCGTCACTTAAGACCCTATATCTCGGCAAAAACAAGTTCGGACTAGAGAATAGATTGACATGTCAAGAGATGAAACTAACGAAAAATGATTTTTGTAATAATTTTAGCGCCTTTGTATGAAAATGCAAAATAAATATACTATTTGTTCCAAATCGCATTTGACTCTTAAGAACAAACAGAATTTCAATTATTACTCAGGTCCTTATGACTGAATAAAAATGACTTGCCTGGTTTTTTGGGTTTTTTGTTTTTAAGAAAAAGCACAATGCCTGCTACTTGAGTTTTTTCTTTGGTTTAAATGATACCGCTATACGTGAAAGTCCATGCTTTTTGTGAAACACTATTAACACCATCCATGCTGTCTGGGGAATTCTGGGAGTTGAAGTTCACACATCTTAAATGTTGCTAAGATTGATAAATGCTGCTTTAGACTGTAATTCCATAGAAACCCACTTAAAGAAACTCACACTATGTCTGAACTGGCTAGTTCTTGTGTTAATGTGTGTTCCAGCAAGCACTTCATGGTCACACCTAAGATGGAGCTAATAGGAGAGGGTTAATTTTAAGTCTTTGACTTCGAAGGAAGAACTATGTATATAGTTCTGTCTATCCAAATGTATAATTATTAATATGTGGGCAGGTTTCGCCAAAAAATCAGTCCATTTTTTTTAATGCCTAGAACAGGGGTAGGCAACCTTGGCTCTTTTATGACTTGTAGATTTCATCTCCCAGAATTCCTGAGCCAACATGGCTGGCCCAGGAATTCTGGGAGTTCAAGTCCACGAGTCATAAAAGAGCCAATGTTGCCTACCCCTGGCCTAGAAAGTGTAAAAAGAAGAAATGAATTTTGGATTTCAGATATACTTTTACACAGCCTCCCTTTGGATAACAAGATAGAGCAGCATATAAATTTAATAAATAAATAAAAACAGACTCGCACTGGAATAAGCGAGTAGGGTCATACCGGATCCCTATCAGTTCTTCCGTACAATGGCGGAAGTCTGTATTTTGGAGGTGATGGCAGCCTGGAGATAACCAGACCTTGATTTGGTCTGAAGGCAGGCTGTTGAGAAACCATTGGCACAGCTAACGGTAACCGAGCTGATGGCGGAGCTTCTCGTTCCACTAGAGGAGATTTACGAGAACTCCGCAGGTCCATCTTGAAATCGTCGTAGCCACAGGAAGGCGGACCCTGTGGTTGAAATGTTTTCTTGTGATATTTCTGATAATGAACAACTATCAAGATAGCTAGCGTTGTGGAGCATATAGCAATCAACAAGGCAGAAAACGTGTTTGTGATCAAACAGTTGCCGCCTTTGAATGCAGTCGCCGTCCCGTTGAACGCTGCAGAATCACGTGTTGGCTTTGTCGTAGGTAAGCAAATCCCAGCATAGGTCACCTTTTCGATTCGTTCGATTTTGAATTCTGGCAACATGGCCTGGGCAAAATCTGGACTGACGTGTTCCCCAGGTCTTCCTAGTTTCGTTAGCACATCCTGGATTTCGTCTCTTGCGCACTTGTCTGTCTTTGCGCAAAGCAACTTATTGTACCACGTAAACACGGCGGACCCAGTTTTGAGATGAAGTAGAACCATATCCCCAGGACTCTCTGCAAACAAATATTTGGAAAGTTTCTTTAAAAAGAAGTTCACTCTTCTTCTGTTTTTCAGGAACGAGTGGTAGCTATTTGTTGTTACTACCGTGTAAATATGACAAGGGACAGCAGTTGGTCTGAATAGTTCTACGATGAATTTATCTTCGGCCTTCAGTCCTCCCGAATCTATGGCGAAGAGTGAAAACTCCTGAGGGGAATATTGAAAATCAGCATCCAGCGGATAACCATGCATATTTTGATCCCTGGCATTAAATTGTAACCAGCTTTCCAGATCTGTCGGTGGGCCGTCGATGGGGTTCATTCCGAGGGTCAGTTGAGTTGAATTCCCGTCTTCTTGATCCTGAAATGTCTCTGGCGGTATGGAAAACGAGAACCTGTGTCCGATGGTTGCTGCAATCCACTTAATGGCATTAATGACCCTGGGAGGTGTGTTTGGCTGACCTGAGTAAAAATGAAATTGTAAATGTAAAGAAGTTTGAATAACCTGGCCCTGAGAGACAAAAGGAACAACTATGGTTGTGCAACACGCTTCCCAGTTTAACAATCATTCGTTTAGTGCAGAGGTAGGCAACCTTGGCTCTTTTATGATTCGTGGACTTCAACTCCCAGAATCCCTGAGCCAGCATGGCTCAGCTTGGAAACCTCTCCCTTTCCCCTCAGCATGGCTGGCTCAGGAATTCTGGGAGTTGAAGTCCACGAGTCATAAAAGAGCCAAGGTTGCCTACCCCTGGTTTAGTGACTGTTCAAAGTTACAATGACGCTGACTTATAACCATTTCTCACCCTTACGACAGATGCAGCATCCCTGCGGTCACATGATCATAATTCGGACGCTTGGCAACTGGTTCATATTTATGACCTTTGCCGTGTCCCGGGTTCATGACATCCCATTTTGCGACCTTCTGACAAGCAAAGTTGATGGGAAAGCTAGATTCATTTAACAACCGTGTTACTGACTTAACTGCAGTGATTTGCTTAACAACTGTGGCAAGAAAGGTCATAAAATGGGGTGAAACTCCGTTAACTGTCTTGCTTAACATCATAAATTTTGGGTTCAATCGTCATAAATTGGGGACAAGCTGTACTAATTAATACGTGTGATTTACCTTCTATTTGGTGGTTCATAGTGGTATGAAGTCCAGTCTTTGTGGATATTCCTTTGTTGTTGAAAACAATGGCTGATTCTTTCAATTTTGAGACAATATCCCCTGTAATTTGGACATTAATTTTGGTTCCAAATGAGCTTTTCAAACTTAAATCATTTATATCCAGTTGCAAGGCATCAGGATCTAACACGGATGTTAGATCTAAATTGTTCACAGAGTCACATTGACTTGTAGAAAAATAAAAGCTGGAGGTATTAACAAGTTCTAGAGGCTGAGTAATAAAGGAAGATCTGTGAGAAAGCAACTCCAGTGCCTGACTTTTTCTGTGAGACATTTCTGTTTGACTAAGGAACCCGCTGCTTAAGATAACAGCACTGGGTGTTGTAATATAAAATAAAGATGTTCCTTTTTTCCACAGGGAAGTGTCCATTTCAGTTTCCATAAAAACTAAGACATTGTTTCCTGTAGTAATAAATCTGTAGGTTAATGAAATAGTTGTAAAAGATTCATGGGTGTTCGTTCTGTCTGAGGTAACTTGTCTTCTGTCAGGCAATTTTTCCATTGGTAATATATTACCAAGTCCAAATAACGCCAATTCCACTGGAACCGATAAGGAGAAAGAAGGAAAAACTATGGGGTTGCTAATAGTTTTAGACAGGAAGCTAAACATTAGTAGAGTTTGACTGGATAACGAAGTGCTGTTATTTAACATATCTGTCAAATGTTTTGATGAAGTTGGAGCATTGTGGCAATACGATTGAGTTGGTGGGCATGCATTGGACAGAGAACCAGGTTCGGGATAAAAATCACCATTTGTAACGATAGCATCAAATATTGATGGGATGTTGGTCAAGATGGAGCTTTTGATCCATTTGAAAACTTCCATCTGCTTTACCGGTGCTAGTGTCATAAAAGTTTCTGAGGCGGAAGTGTAGACATTAAGTAGTTTTTGATTCTGATAGCTGTCATGTAAGAAGAGCAAAGATACTGCAACACTAGATGATGATGATGATGATGATGATGATGACGACCTTAAATATGCTAATGTCGACATGGAAGGCAGAGAAAGTTTGATTATAGAAATGATCTCTCCAGATTTAAATCCAGATGCTGT